AAATGGCGGATGAGAATACCTACATATCTAGTGCCTTAGTTAAATGAATCTTTTCACCGTGATCGGAGCTAAAAACTAGAAAAGTTCTAGAAGAGCGAAAAGTTGATTGGCCACCGTTAGTGACTTTCACCACGCGTAACGCGTCCTGTGAGTAGGAGCCCTAATCAGAGCGATGGTGTGGATTGAGCTTAAATCAGTAACGCTTAATGTAATACAGGTCTTTACACATTCCTCCTCCACTGCCAGATAGTTTAAAAGCGTTTGAAATGTAACGTCTTTCTGTAGTTCAACAGTCGAGAACAGTTGAGAATCTGTAGGCATCTGATTTCTTGCTTTTATTTAGTGTGATCTTTAAGTTGTAGGTTTTTATCGAGAAATTATAATTTAAAAGTAAGTATAAATAATTTATTAGCAAATTTATAGAAATAGATATGTTGCATCCAAGTATAAGAAAAAATTTACGAGTCTTATTTATAATTTAACGAGTTTATATACTTATAAAAGTAACATTTTGTATTTATACGATATAGCTGTAAATGTAGAACAATTAAAAGAACCATGTATCCATTCTGCAGTATATGTATCTTTTGATATATACTTCATTGAAAATAAATGTGTTTTATCAAATTATAATATAATATTATCTTGTTATAGGTAAGATCTTGAAGTTTGAGCATATCAATAAATTTGTCGCTATCAAGTTGTATAGTTGTATAGTTTCAATATTGTTTTATAATTTGATTACATTAAATGCATGTTGTATAATGTTCTTACAGATGTGTGATGATACTGTTTCTGTTGCTTTACGTATCCGTCCATTAGTGGAAAATGAAATTGACAAAGGATGTCAGATGTGCTTAGATGTAATACCTGGAGAGCCACAAGTTCGCATATGTGATACTGACAAGGCATTCACGTACAATTATGTTTTTCCTCCCAATATAGGGCAGGAAGATTTTTATAATATAGCGATTAAACGATTGTTAGACAATACGTTTCAAGGTAAATATTTTGCATTTTATGATATTTAAAATATACTGTATTTTTATTTACATTAAAAATACATTTTTTATCAGGTTATAATGTCACAATATTGGCATATGGTCAGACGGGAAGTGGAAAGACTTATTCTATGGGTACCAATTATATGGGAGTAGGAGAACAGGGTATTATACCAAGACTCATAAATGATATATTTGACATAATTAAATCTAAGGAAGACTGGAGCTTCAAAGTTGCAGTCTCATTTATGGAGCTGTATCAAGAACAGTTGTATGACCTTTTATCTGACAAACAAAGAAACCAGTCTATCGTAGATATTAGAGAAGATGGAAAAAATATAAAAATTGTCGGTGTAACTGAGAAAGAAGTTACAAATGCCCAAGATACATTACAATGTTTGACGCAAGGTTCCATGGGTCGAGCAACTGGTGCGACTGCAATGAATGCACATAGCAGTCGCAGTCATGCAATATTCACAATTTGTATACGGCAGCAAAAAACAGACGATCCGTGAGTAATTCAATTTGTATTTTCCGTTGTTTTACTATTTTATCCTGTATTGCCAAATCTGAGAATAAAAATACAATTTATTTTTTTTTTATATAGAAATACAGCAACAGTGTCAAAGTTCCATTTAGTTGATTTAGCGGGGTCGGAACGTAGTAAGAAAACTCAAGCAACTGGAGAGCGGTTTAAAGAAGGTGTAAACATAAATAAGGGATTACTGGCTCTAGGCAACGTAATTTCGCAACTTGGTGATGGTGCCGCTGGAAGTTATATCGGATATAGAGATAGTAAACTTACGAGATTATTGCAAGATTCCTTAGGTGGTAATTCTATGACTCTTATGGTTGCCTGCGTTAGTCCTGCTGGTTGGTACTCTTTTTGTATGCGGATAGTATACTTTATATTTTACTATTGTGTATTCAGAGCCTAAGCAAGGTCTTGATGCTCAATAACATAATGTTTGTCGCATAAAATAAAATAAAAGCATACGTTTCAATCTCACGTTTTCTTCGATGTGCGATTATTCCGTTATATGGTTTAATTTTTAATTTGTTACACTGAAGATGGAAACAAGAGGTCAAAACGTATGTTTTTATTTCATTCTATGCGACAAACATTATGTTACACTGAAGATGGAAACGAGAGGTCAAAACGTATGTTTTTATTTTATTCTATGCGACAAACATTATGTTATTTAACATCAAGACCTTGCTTAGGCTCTGAATACACTATTTAAGAAGTCTTTATTATTATTTAATAAAAGAGCTGTTAAATTTTAATCAGGTTTTATTTTTAATATTGTGCTATTTATCATGAAAAAATTTATTTGCAGATTACAATTTAGATGAGACTCTTAGTACACTAAGATATGCAGATCGCGCGCGCAAGATCAAGAACAAACCAATTGTTAATCAAGATCCGAAAATAGCAGAGATCAATCGTTTGAATAAATTGATCCAGGAATTGCGTTTGGCTCTAGTGAACCAGGAACTCGGCTTAACGTGTCCTAAGGAACATGAGGAACTTGAGGAAAAATATGGTATACTGCAACAGAAACTTAGAGACATGACAGAGAAGTTAAGTTCAAGTTTAGTAGAAATCGTTGTCATGCATGAACGGGCAGAGATGGCTGAACAGGCTCGAGAAAAAATCAGATCTGCTTTAGCGATACTATTGGACGAATTCAAGCAAGTTTTACAAAATTTTGACACTTGTCCTGAGATTGGCGATGAAAGGTCTAATGAATTAAAAGTGATATACAACAAAATGTTAAGTAAGTTTTTCTCTATGAAAATGTATAAATTATTATTTTTCTAACGGTACTTTACACCTAAATTTTTCTTATTTTGTTTATTGTGTACACACAGATATTCAGAAGGACGAAAGAAAGGCATCTGAAGAACTTATAAATCATGAAATATCGAATTCTAAAAATTGTTCGATACACATTGAAGAAGATGTAGAGCACATACGTACAGAAGAATTAAATAATGTCGAAGACAGTTTAGATTACTTTGATAAAAAAGAGGAGGAACACACGTTACGGCAAGCGGAGCGAAATAATGCAGTTAAAAATATTAATAAAGAGCTGGCGCTCAAAGAAAGTCTTGTGTCCGAACTCTTAAAAAACATTACGCAGCAAACTGCGGAAAGCCATAAGAATGTTGTGGAAATGGAACAGGAAATCAAACGATTGCACGCAGAAAAAGAAGAACATTTGCAAGCAGTACATGCACACAACGTCAGTTCCAAGTAAGTAATTTTGTAATATAATATTGAACAATATTAATACTTTTTTACTATATGGATAATTCTTTGTACAGATTGGCTGAGACACGTCGTAAAAAGGTACAAGAATTAGAGAAGAAGATAGCAGAATTGACACGTAGATGTGGGGATCAGAATAAGGTAATCAAGACGAAAGAAAAGCAAGATCAAAAAATTAGAACTCTCTCCGGTGAGATACAATCATTGAAGGAAACTCGAATCAAACTTATCAGACAAATGCGTAATGACGCCAACAATTTTACAAAATGGAAGCAGTCTAAAGAAAAAGAAATTAATAGACTGAAAATGCAGGATAATAAGCGTGCTTTTGAAATGGTACGCATGAAGATACAACATAATAAACAGGAGAACGTTTTAAAGAGAAAAATGGAGGAGGCTTTTGCTGTTAATAAAAGATTGAAGGTATAGTTTTTTTAAGTCAATAGCTGATAAGATGTTTGCTTATTATCTTTTTCACTGCTTGGATATCTCATAACGTTTCTTTAATGCCGTGGATATGACGCTTGACGATTTCTGTGCAGGGTGCGTTGGAGTTGCAGAAAAAAGCAATACAGCGACAAGAAAAGAAAGCTAACGGTAAAGATGAGATTAAAACATGGGTGGCTCAAGAATTAGAAGTATTAATGGCCACTGTAGAAGCAGACTATTCTCTCAAAAAACTAATGCAAGATAGAGCCTCTTTAATGCACCAATTAGATCAATTTAAGAAAGACAATAATTCAAATGAAAAGGAACTCGCCTCCATTTCGGAATTTATAGAGCTGCGTAATGCACAAATTGCAGATCTGCAGCAAAAGATTCTTGAATCGGATCAAGGTAAGATATTGGAGGAAAGGTTTCTCAAAGGTCAAAAGTTAACTCTTTTCATTATTGATTAAAAATAAAAAATTATAAATATATCTTTTAATAAAGTTTAAAACTCATCTTTGTAATGTTGTAATACTGTTTGTGATATTGCTTTCTAAAATTTAATGACTTACGGAATATTGTATGGCCAATACATTCTTAACTTGCGATACATGCAATCTTTTATACATAAATTTATTTTTCAGAAACTAGAACAAAGACCAGATGGGATACGATACGTACAATAGCAGATGCCAAGGTGGCATTCGAAACGGCATTTCAAATAATTACACAAGACAGAAAGCAACAATGTTATAAATATAATGAGCTTAAAGTTGGTATATATTATATAACATTTTTATATACATGATACACACATTTACATTATAATTACTAAGATAATTGATATTTAAGGAGAGATACCAAGATCTAGAAATACGATTGGATGAATATGAAAAGCGGGAGATAGAGAACAAACCGCCTTCGCAAAATACATCTAATGAATCTAATGAATCTAATGATCAAGTAATTACATAGAGTTTTATTTTATATGATATTGAGAACAAAAATGTTTTTGCTGAAAAATGATATTGTTATTATGCATTCTAGGTTTTAACAGAAAATAATGTAAGCAATGAAAGTAAAAAATCGTCTAAAAGAGGAAAGAAAGAAAGTAAAATGACAATTGAGGAGGCTGAGTATTTAATGCAGGATGATAGTTTAATAGAAACAATAGAAGACGATATCGAGAAAGATCCGGATTGGAAAAAGACACCACTTTATAATCGTCTGCAAAAGTTACAGGTAATAATGAGATTTTTTTTACTGTGATTGTTACAAATATGATATTCTGAACATTTTTATGAAGCAAAATAATTGCATGTAATTATATAAAATCATCAGAACTCTCTTAACGTTGTTTTTTTTTATTCAGAACAAGTCAAAACTTCCAACTCAAAGATTGACTTTTAAAATCGAACCCAATGACTTAAAATGTGCGTGTAAACACACAAAGTGCGCCACACGATTATGCACATGTCGTAAAAACGGCACTACTTGTAACAATTGTAATTGTAATTCAGAACAATGTCAAAATAAAGATAAGGAAAACGTAAGTTGTCCATATGTACTATATATTATATTAAGTAATGTATAAGTGTATACATATATATATATATATGCGTTTGTTAAATGTATTGCTTATTTTTCTTTCTAGTTACGCACCACACTGTTTTCAGACGAGACGAAAGATGAAGTGGCATACGATTAGGAACAACACAAGTAAAAATCTTTTTTTAATTATACATGAACATTATATATCAATGAATTTGTAGTTGTACATTTATTTATTAATATCGCATTCAGTTTTAAATATTGTACATAATAATGAAAATAAAATAAAATTTTTTAACTACTTTTAGTCATGAAAACACTATGATATAATATCTTTAATTTTCATTATTATTTTTATCACGATATATCTTTTGTTTTATATTTTATCTTATCAATTGATCGATGTTACTACGTGCGTTATCAATATAAAATGATATGACCACGTGCATTATCAATAGGCTGCGACTTTGAAAATAAGACAAAATTTTGTTATTTTCTCTTTTTTCCTCTTATAATTTTTAATTGTTTTTTATTCCAAATAAACTATATATTTTAAAAGCACACTTACAAAGAAGTTGTTACTTATAACAATGTATAAATAATTTTTAAACTAGAAAGCATTTTTGAAAAGCACTAAAATATTGTTTAATTGTCACATTCATGTAATAAAACTTCGATTATATTAATAGATTAAAAGTATATCAATCATTGTGATTGTTACTGTATTGTATTTTTCTGGTAATATAAACTTATTTCATATATATCGGGGCGTTAAAAGTATATTACCGACGGAACTCCAAGAACTCACAAACGCTATTCTAATAACCAGAGTTAACAATAGTGGCGGTGGTGTTGACACAGCGACGTGTCGAGAAGAATATTATGGGGTGTCAAATTTTTAGCGGCGATTTTGCAAAGAGATAAAGAGATTAAGGCATTTAAAGCAAGTAAAAAATAAATAGATAAATTAATATTTTATTTATATGCAATACATGAGATCAAACATTGTTAAAAAAATTGTTAAAAAACAAAAACTTAAGATAACTGTTGTAAACTTGCAAAACAGGAGCCATAAGAAATCTTTTCTAACTCAATTTAATTATGTTATATCAAATTTGATACGCATGCGCAAGAAAGGGGGCTTATTTTACAATACTGGTTGAAGTCTCGCCAGTAGTCACGCCAGTAGTCACGCCAAGTCTTACTTAATTTCGTTAAAGGTGTCGTGTCGATGTAACTTAGATGAATCCGACCGTCTCGCAGCTCGGCGACGGAACAATCAGTATCCGTTGGTACTCGGCGGAGTGTGGCGGAGCGTGGCGGAGTGTTCGTGCGAGGTCTCGGCGGGTCTCGGTGGGTCTTGACAAGGCCGACTGTTTCAGACGTGTTTAGTGTTTTCAGACAGCTGAACACGGCGAAACGAGTCTGGTTCCTTGGCATCACAAACGGAAGAATTGACTTCCACCTACTCGCTTTCGATGTGAACGTAAATCGTTAGTCGAATCGACCAGCATGCGATGGAAGATGCAGCTTGTGGTCTGGCAGCTGTTATACCGCTGTTAGCTCTGTCGCTCAAGGAGATTGAACACCCGCCGCAGGTGCGATTTCCCATTTCTGTCAATCTTCAGATTTTTCATCGTCGACCTAACGTCATGGACAGCGCCTGCCTTCATCAGCTCGTCACGACGCCGATCAAAAATGTTCTACAATTGCAACGGATCAAAGAGCAAGGACACAAATTGTATTAATTGACCCAATATAATCTTGAAATTTCATGATTGCAATTTTGAAATGTCGAAGGGCATTTGCATATTGGCAAGGAGAAAAATATGAAATAATTCGCCAATATTTATATAGTTTTCTAAATGCGATTTAAATCACTCTTGTGAGAAAAAAGGGGCAAATCTTGCTTATTAGCGCTTTGTACTTTGAACAATTTCTCCTGATTATTTAATCTTTATTCTCGTTGTAGTTTTGTATTTTTGCATCATTTGGAATTTGGACGTCTGGACTTTGGCATGCGACATCCTTTTATATGCAAAGTAATTTGTATGCATGCATGTATTAAAAATATTTTGCCCAATTGCTAATTATACAATGTTACTTTTGCTTCTCATGTGTTAACATTATGATAGACGTTAAAATAACATTAGAATTATTAATATTATTATTATTGATTATAACGTGAATACAATCTATTACTAACTAAAGCTAGTTCTGTATGTTAAATGAATAATAATTAATGAATTTATATTTTAATATGTATGTCTCTTACAATAACTACTCCATTGTCGGTTCTATTGTAGTTATCCAAGTGGCATATATTTCATAACATATTTTTTATCTTTACAAGATTAGTACTCTTTATTAATTTCCATAGTAAAAATCGCAAAAATATTGAAACAGTCAGCATTATATTGATATACCTGATACACAATAATCTCAGAGGTCAGAGAGATATTAATATTTCTCTCGCATTGTTATTTCCTCTTATTTACTTGTTATTTCTTATTTATAAGGTATTGATTATATTTCCTTAAATCCAATATTTCAACATTCTCTCACTCAAACTTGAGATTGTTTTTGTCTGTGATTCACGATAATGGATCGCATTGTAAATTCCATATGTGATAGCAACATTGAATGATCCCTACGTGCAATTGTCTTTCTCTTTAATCATGAGATCTCTATGCACAAATTCATTGACACTTCTGAAAGAAGGTCTAAGCTTCTAATAGCAGAAAGCTAAGATGTTTAAATTAAATTGAATTTATTTATGGAGTCATAATTTATTTGCTGTTAAAGCATTTGTTTGTAATGCTTGTATCGTTAGTTATACAAATACATACCATATTTGCGTGAACAAATTTGTACAAATTTAATTGCAAATACATTATATGTTTTTTTGTAAAATATAAAAAGTGATAATTTCCATAATTTCATAAATATTCTCATAAAAATAAATTTAACTCTCTATTCAATATTTATGCATTGTGCTGGATAAAAATTGAATTAATTAATATTAAATATGTACGCATAAAAAATTACGAAAAGTTGTACTTTACGCTAAAAAGTGTCCGATTGTACTACGTATTTCATTAATCATGAAACAATTCTATATTGCATTCAGGCTTTTTGTTAACTTTGCAATATATACTGTTATTTAAGAGCTTTAAAAAGTTGTGCATGAAGTAGTCTGAAACCTTTGGCATGCAGCACTGCTTGTAGAAGGATATGATTAATATTCTCGAGCAACAAATTCTGTGGATCATCTTTCCGATATGGATGTACGGAAAAATTCTCTACTTCATCAGTTCGGATTACTCGGGACAGGTTTCTTCCTCAAAGTAGTTCAACAAGCAGGTACTATTGATTGACATAATGATTCATCTGCACGATATGCATGCACTTTGTACTTTGTAAATGTGCTCTTTGTCATTCTAATAGAATTGAAAATAAGCCTCATGAAAAATACATTGCGCTCAACTTTTAATTTATTAAATTAGCAATTGCGTAACTTAAAACTATGTAATATGCTATGGAAACCCTTAATTTCATTATCTGCTTTATACAGCTTAAATGAGACGTAATATCTATTAATCTTCTTTTATCTTATGTAAGAAGTTCTTAGATTCCGCGATTCTTTATATAACAGCCTTCTATCACGTTAAACTTGAAGAAAAATATTGCAAGTGTGTAATCAAGGTGTCACACATGTAAAAGCACTTGTAAACAGCATTTATTATTTTTAATATTACAAATATTGTAATTTTATAAATTATAAATTTAAATTGTGGATTCAGAAAACATTACAATGCTTACAATACTTAATAATTGAATGTTACTACAATATTATATAAGGCTGATCTCACTAATTAACTTTTTCAAAATGTAATATTTAAATTAATAGCTAAATTTAAAGAAATAGTAAGAATCAATAATATTCGACGAAGTAGGATAAAAAGGATCGGTATAAAAGTGGATTCACACCGTTCTCGATTCGTATAGATATAGTGAAAATTAATTACTGTAATGTACATTAGTAAATAAGTTGGTCAAATGTTTCGATCCACTTCGAGCTCCACTGCTAAAATCTAATGAGATGTAAGCGCTTGAGATGACACGAGAATCGAGAAACATACAATATTTATAATATCGAAAAGTTAAATAATTAAATTTCTGAATATTCTTTTTTATTGGAATTATTACGTTACTATGTTCAGTCAGTAATGTTCAAGGATAAAAACTTGAAAATAAGATACCCGTTTACAAAAGCCTTCCAACATAAAATCAAGACTCGAGTCTGTGATTTCTGTTGTTTCAAGTGTCTCTTTAGATTGTGTTGTTTCAAGTGTCTATCTTATCATTTTTAATAATTGTCACTGAAAAGCTTAGCAGTAGATCGAAGTAGATCGCGTTCTTGATCAATTTATCGACTTGTTAATAATTAAATATATTTATACGCATCAAGCAACGGCAAATCGATCTTCATTTTATTTTTGACACATTTTCTTAATTTTGCAAAACACAATTTACAGTTGAAAAAAAAGAGATTAAAGCAAGGAGAAGTAAAGCAGTTAACTACTTACAGGATTAAATGGATGAATCCAAGAGCGTGCACGAATGAGGCATATATTCCTACCCCTATTGAACACATGGCAAATGTGGCGACTCACGGAATATGGGTTGTACCTTCGGTGATTGGTGGTATCGAGCTTATACGACGTTCAACTACATGGGGTCAACTCGTTTCTGCTTGCGTATACGGCACTTCCTTGATCCTTGTTTTTGCGGTCTCAACTTTCTTCCACAGTGTGCACTACTGCAATCATAATAGGTACGATTATTAAATCGCATGTTGTTTCTTGTTCGTTAAATTTCTAATATTTTATAATCGTGCTATATAATTAGTATGTAATTAGTGTGTAAATAAAATGGCGAGTAAACAAAACATTTATTTAATATTTTAGACAGCTAAAAGATGCATTACATCGCTGTGATCGCGCTATGATATACATCTTCATAGCAGCCAGTTACTTTCCATGGTTAAACATAGACCATTTCTCAGACGATGAGCTCTTATTCGCGATGCGATATGTCGTTTGGATCATGGCTATAATGGGCATCCTCTACCAGCAAATCTTCCATGAGAAATATAAAATGCTTGAAACTATATTCTACGTAGTTATGGGTATTGGACCTAGTGTTGCAATTCTCAATGTTGTAAGTAAAGCAATCTTGTTCGGTTTACATCATTCAGAGCATGAATTTTATTTGACGGAGCGAAGTTTCTCTCAAGTGAAATTATCCGAATTATATATATATAAACTAACTTAATATTTATAATATTATCTTTACAGTATAACTATTACAATATTACGGAATTGAAACTTGGCGGGCTGATATACGTTCTTGGCTTAGTATTTTTCAAATCGGATGGTCGTATACCTTGCGCTCATGCAATCTGGCATCTCTTCGTGGCCGCGGCAGCAGGATTCCACTATTACGCAATTCTAAGTCACGTATTTCCTGAAACAGATTCAACGGACGACGTTCTTGGGTCATCCAATAGTGCGCCACCATTGTCTAATATACTACAGTCTCATATAGAATTGTAAAAATTGTATACTGTTTTCTACATTAGTTTTTCCAGATACTAAAAATTCTAAAACACGTAGCAGTTTTAGAGGTGAACTCTAAAACTATATTCTGATAAAAAGGATATCTTTAATTCTTATCCATTTAGAAAAAGTTTTTGATAAGGAAAAATTAATTTTTCAATCATGACTTTGTATGTCTGTACTAGAACAACCAGTTTTTCATAATTATTCCAAGTATAAGTAAAAGCATTTTGTGCAATATGTAAATATATAAAGGTGGATTATATGGTTAAAAGAAAGTTAAGTACCTGACGGTTTTATGTGAGATTCGATTCATATGTTAAGGACATGTGTTAGAAACGAAAAAGGAGTTAGATATTATACTAGCAGAAATATTAGCGTGGCTCGGTTACTGCAAATTACATCACAAGTTCGTATACGTCTACAGTGAGTATTGTGTCTTTCATATGATTTGATATGCTAGTATTTCGAGAGATCATTTATAAGTAATGCCAAATTTTATTATATTGTAAGAGAGAGAAGATTTACCAATCCTGTACCATTGAGAATACAGGTATTATTTTTGGGGTAATTATTTTTTGTTTTATATAAGTTTTATAAAAGTCTTTATATTAGGATCTACGAAGCGTAGACATTAAGTGTTAGTTTAGCGATGAATAGAAACCAAGTTGACTGAATACAAAGAAACAATCTTTGCTTTCTATCGTAAGTGTCAATCGTCTTTTTGTTTGCGGATGTAATGTGCCAAAATTAAACTCAAGTTCGTATCTATCTAATGATCTAAAATTTAAGATTTCCACAATAGATTCAACATAGGTACAAGAGTATCTTGTATTTATACAATCCTTGTATAAGAGAAACATAATGTTACTTGAATTATAACAGTTTTACGAATATTTCGGTGTGTATCCCCATATAAAGAATATACACATATTATAATCATCGAGCGTTTCATAAAATATAGAACATATGTTGAAATGAATAATGGCCTTATTTGTTGTATTACTTGACATGATTGCCAATCAATCTTACATGAAGTTTGATCTCTTATTGTTAATTTTTATCTTAAGAACGATTGTACATCAGGAAATCAGTTTTAGTCATTATGATGTAGTTATTGCAACAGTTATATTATTGTTATAAATAATTTATTTATAATTTTTGCATCTATAGGACGATCTGATTTATATCTACTTATTTACAAATCAATTGTATATTATTATAAAATCAAATATGTATTGTGCGTGTATATGTATATACACATGCATGTATATACATGAACACATATAGCCTACATACATGTACAGCATCAATATTGTAAAGTATTGTTAAGAACGTGTTATCAATGTAACAAGAATATTAAATTGCGATATATATATAACTCAAATATCGCTAGAGACAAAGTACAAAATAATTATCAGCTATGAGTTTGTTTGTTGGCTATCTTTTGTCCTTGTGATTTGCAGTGGACCAAAGTATTATGGAGTAATATATATAGCATTGCTATCAACGGTATGCTTTCTGAGTATGTGAGTGTAATTCACAATAATAAAAAAATAAAGGAATTATATATTGACGAAAGATTCTTTTTCATTCAGTAAAACTGTGATTTATCAGCAGAAGCGATAACAAAGACATAATTAATTCTAATTTAAAACGAGTAAATTGGGGACATTGTAATACATAGAATCAAATCAAATTAAACGTGGTTGATAATTGATTATTAGAGAATCAATTCGGTTCCAGATAAAGCTCAAAAAATGTTTCTTTTTATAGTGCCGCATACAAGATGCTCAGGATTGTCTTGTAAGTACAAAAACTAAAAAGAAATTTATAATAGAGAGAACCGGTTGAAATAAATGGAAGCATTCAATTATTAGGACATTACGTAAAAAATTCAACAAAAATTGGTAAGCATTAGTAAGTATTGATGTACATAATTCGTAGCAACAGTTTAAAAGCGGTGTTTTCCGGTTTAAAATTGCGTATAAGCGTCGACACCCGAAGAGTTACCATGGTAACAATGGCAAACAGAACGGGAATCGAACGAGTCGACAATGAATTGACAAGCATTACTGATCGGTCATTACCGTTGTTACTTAAGTAATTCTATACACTGTAATTATGAAAATTATGACGCACTTCTACTTTTTTGGAACGTGAAAAAATTTACAATCGACATCTTTTCAATGAAGAATCGTTTGACTTTGCTTGGCAACCCGTTATCATTGTAAAAGTGTATGCCACTAAGAACGATATTATATATCAGTGAAAAAGGAAACAAAATATGGATAATGTTACGTATGATAAGACGGAGAAAAAAACTGTATCCGTACCCGATAGCATGCCGTCATGGTTGCTGGAGATGACCAAGTACGTGATATATTATATATGAATTATTATGTTTGTGATATATTTTTGAAGACTGTGAATAGCACTATTTCCCACTTTGTTTATGTTATCCTTTATAATAGCAATATAGGAAAAATGAATGTAAATAACGATGCTAAATCACTGCAAATGGAAACATTTTTAATTGATGATCAATATAATTTTAATAACACCTTATTTGAAAAGGAAGACGATAACATGTAAGTTTTATAAATTTCGTATATAATGGTTTTTTTCTCTAAATTATATTATAGAGTAGTCTCTCTACAATGATACTCTGTTTGGCTTTACAGAAAATTACAGTCAAACACACATGTAAGTAATCTTTATGATATTGATGGCAATATCAAGTTGCAAACATCTACAAGTAAATCACTGCCAAATACACCGAAGAATGAAGAAGTTCAGATTAAGCAGACAAAAACACGCGCGTGTTCTGCCGTTATAAATGCAAATCGTAAGGACGATTTTCGTGGACTAGATGCATATTTAGAGAGAAAACAGATGGAAAAACATGGTTCCTACTTAACATCTGAAAATTATAATAATACAAGGACTTGCAATGAGGAATCGAATTTGGAACACCCTATGCATGTTCAGAATAGTACTGATACACAATTACATTTGTTAGATGATAGTTATTATCTGAATAGTTCAGAATTTATACGAGATGAAGAACAGTCAAGATCGTTACCTAGTCAGTATCAAGAAATTTTCAAGTTTTCCATCTCATTTGAAAACAATTTCCCCGAAGACACAAGTCATACGTCGAATACAACAGGTTAATTTTTATTTAAAAAATTTCATAAATGTGTATTTGATATTTAGAAACATAAAATTTGATAAATCTCTTATTATTTCAACAAAATTGTTTTCAGACCAATTTTATAAAAACTTTATTATTCCTGAATTGCCGTCTGGAGATTTATTAGTCATTGACATTCTTTCTACCTGGGGTGACAAACATTATGTAGGCCTCAATGGCATAGAAATCTTTTCACATACTGGAGAACCGGCGAAAATAAAAAAAATATATGCAGATACAACGAACATCAGTCAATCATCGGATAACAATTCTTTCATCATAACAAACTTAATTAATGGTATTAATCGTACGAGAGATGATGCAAATTTATGGCTTACACCTTATTCATTTGGTGACCATCATTATGTTTATATAACATTTGAATTCGCAATTACTGTAGCAATGATCAGAATATGGGTAGGATATTTTGTAATAATCATAAAATAATAGCAACTCAATAGCACTGATGTATAAAAGATGTATATGCTTTTTTTTCTTTCAGAACTACAATAAATCTAGAATACATTCCTTTAGAGGGGCCAAAGACATTATTATGAAATTAAATGACATTATTATCTTTGATGGCGAAATTGCTAAAGCATCAGGCGATGATATGGGTAGCCTTGACTCCTTTGGTGATGTAAGAAAATTGATCAAATAAATTGCAAATTTTGTATAAGATAGTTTCAAATTTCAATATTATAAAAATAATATTAATGAGAATTTTTCAATATTAATATTTTAGAGTTTCAATATTAATTTCATTATTATAGAAATACTAATGTTACATGTAAAAATCTATTATAACTAATTATAATAATACACGATATGCTTACTGTTAATCTAGTTCTCTTGTTATACATAATATTTTGAAATGAATTTTATGTGTAATATACAAATATTGGTCGCCGTAGACTATATTATTTACGACAGACGAAGATATTTTGGAATTGATATCGAAACATGACAATACATTCATCGAATTCCATAACAGAATCTCCGAATATGAAGACAAAGAAATAATTCGTCCAATAACAGCAACAACTAATGATGTAAGAAAAATAATGATATTATTCGTCTATTTGAACGTACGTTCGGAAATAATAATACTACAATAATTCTTTTAGATTATTTCCGCAAGGCGTAAAGGTAATGATCAGAGTGAGAATTCTTCTAATTTATACTGTAATAAAGACATTTACAATATAACTTCCGCTGCTCTGTCCTGCAGAGAAATTCAGTTAATTATTATTTCCAATTGGGGCTTAGAGAATTTAGTTGGTAAGTAAATGCATTATCAGTGCTACAGCAGATGTATTCGGAGTGGCATCATTTGTAGGTCTTACCGGTATAGAATTAATTGGGGATAAAGGTATAGTTGTGCCATTAGCAAATGCTAGCTTATGCTGTAACGTGGACGATGCACATTTAACGAAACTGATCGACGGGCATAATGTTACAACTGAAATGGATCACATGTGGCTAGCGCAAGTAACGTCAAACAAAAGAATTACAATAACTATCGCCTTTAGTACAGATGTGCATCCAACGGGAATGCGTATTTGGAATTACAATGCATCTTTAGAATTATCTTATTGTGGCGTAAGATATCTGACATATATATGTTGTTAAGTAATAATAATAATAATAATAGGTGTATAATAGAGAAAATATAAATATATAATAATATAGAGGATTTATTGCAATGAGTTATCAAGAGATTCTGTTTGCTTAGGTAAAACAATTGCTGATTAAATTGGATGATAAACAATTATATGGCGAGAACTTTGAAGGCTTTTTGTTAAGACGCGCGCCGGGATCTTGTCATTACGATTTTGTTCAAGAAATTAGTTTCCTTAGTAATCCACTTGCCCAAACACATCTGAATCCGACACATCAGCCGACTGATTCAATTAAATTGCCCGAAGGTACTTATTAAATTGAATAATAGACATTAAATATATACATTAAAAACTCATCAAACATTTTACTTATGTGATTTTAGAACTTGAATCTTTGGATTCGAACTATGAAACTGCATCGATGCCACAAGGATTTGTTTATCAGATAATAATTTTTTCTACATGGGGAGATTCTTATTATGTTGGTCTTAATGGGATACAAATATACGATAACGATGGCAAGGAAATCAAATTAACTACAGACAGTATGTTTAACTCATATATATGTGATTTTATTAAAAATCTACTTTTTATATTATTTTGTTAAAAAAAGAAATCTATCATTTGTGAATTATTTTTCCAATTAATATTTTTTTTGAGAAACCTGGCTAATGTTGGTTACTCTTTGCTATAGACATAGCTGCATTTCCGGAAAGCGTTAATATAATAGAAGGTATAGATAACGACATTCGCACACCAGACAAACTTATTGACGGAATCAATAATACTAAAGACGGACGTCATGCCTGGTTAGCTCCAATACTTCCTGGACAAGTAAGCATAAATCATACTATGTAAGATAAGTAATTGCTAATTAATATTTTTGATATGTCATTTTTCAGACAAATCGTGTTTATCTGATATTTTATCAGCCCGTTATGGTGTCAATGATCAAGATATGGAATTACAGAAAAACTCCGCAAAGGAGAGTTAAAGAATTCGCAGTAAGAAAAACAAATATTAACAAATATGTATTTTAATGATTTCCTTAACTTTCTACTCATAGCAAAAATATTTACAATTTATAGATATTGGTGGACGATTTACTAGTTTATAATGGAACTTTAGATAAACACAATTTACACGGCCTGGTGACATTTGTAAAGGAAAGTAGTAACAGTGAGAATGTAGTGAATCAGTAAGTGATTTCAGCGAATATAATATTACACATTTATTTATTAAATAGAAGAGGATTGACATATATATTTGTATGTATAATATATTTTACAATTATAGCTCGGAGCAAGAGGGTCGACTTTTAAATTTAAAAAGAAATACTTCAGGTACCAATTCATTACCGGATCCATCTCTTCGACCACATACATCTTTACAATTTAAGGAATCATAACTGCATGTATACGTGGTATATAATACTTATATATCGAAATTGTACTTGTATTTTTATACTCGTCTTCTTCACCGTTATGATAGCATCATTTTTTAAAATTAATAATTATGACATATATATATGCCAATGTGTAAAGGCCAGCTTTACACTGAGGCAATCAAGTCGCACGTGGTCGTTGCCTATACCGTGCATCTTTGTCGCATTGGAACGCCGCATGCGGCTCGATTGCCTGTAGTTGCCTCAGTGTAAGGCCGGCTTAAGATGTTTGCAAATATCATCAATAATATATATGAATCATACATATGAGTATTGTAAGTACAAAATTTTCTTAGATCTCGTGAGAACAATAATAATGATATACGTTCTTGATTAAATTTCAAGAATATCATGAATAAAAATATGTGTACATTATGTATGTCACACATCTTGTATAACTCTTTTTACATAAATTATAATAATAATCTCGAAAGAAAAATAGTATTGTTATATATTTCATTCCCTCATACATAAGTAAATTAAAATATATTTAATTATAAAAATGTTATACTCGTAGTCTTTTCGTCTCTGAGGAAACATTTACCTCATCTACGTCTTTCTCTTCCCAAGGTCCAGTGCGTTTTCTTGCTTTTGGCGACGTTTGTTTTAAACATTCCATGTCATTAAATACGACTTGGGCTCCACCGCCGCTCGTTGGCAATATATCGGCCTGTTTGAAAAAAAATTAATTTCTATGTTAATCAAGATTGCCTTTCAATTTTTTTTCGCAGAAGAGTTTTGTATTATTTCAACCTTATATATCTTTGTTTCAAGTTCTCCGTCCGTATCATGCTCTTGCGCGATAAGAGCATATCTAGATGCGCCTTCGGTAATCTCTTTGGGAGAAGTAAGCCGCGTTATACTTCGCCTTCTTTGCATCCGTGGCTGCAATACCGTTCCAATCGGTACAAGAGTCTCAGGTCTGTGATCGATCCACCTGTCTGCACTCTGTGATCGTCTGTACCTGGGGTTGGAAACCGGTAATCTGTCCTGTACATAACGAAAAGAAAAAGCGTTATCTCATTTTTCTTAATTTACATATTATATAAACATAATTCGAATTTATTAGAAAATATTGGATAAAAAAATGTAATTGAATAATAACCTTTCGTGATATTCTGCTATTTTTGTCTAGACTGATTATTTTTGCTGATTCTGCAATTTGATCCTTCGACGAGATTGCATTTGTTTTAATACCATTGTCCTCTAAAATTTGTTTTATCAATCGTAGCCTCTCGTCTTTCCCCTTCATTTGATTCTAAGTAGTCAAAGAAATATATAGTTTTATTTGTTAAGTCACTGAAGTGTTAATATTAAAAACAAATGTTTGATATAAAGTTGGAATAATTACATTAAACTGCTCTCGCATTTGACGCTCTTTCAAGTCTAATTCTTTGTTCATTTTATCTGTCTCGGCTTGTATTTTTGTGTTATATTTTTGTTTTGCTTTTTGCACATCTATTGAACGTTGATTCAGCGCCAAGTTTCGGTTTCTTAGCTATGCAGATATTATATATATAAATTAAAATAAGAAAAGAGCTTTCACACACATGCACAAAATTAACATGAAACCTACCTTTTGTTTTAAATCTCGTATCATTTCCTCAGCAGTATTTAAATCAAATGAAATTTTATTGTTTTGTCCTTCTACATCGTTTATGCGTCTATTTAATTGAAAATTCTAAAAAATATTATATTAATGTATATATTCTAATTTTGTTTAATTTTATCGCTTAAATTTTTAGTGTTACCAAAATGACTTGTACCTTTTCTTTCTCTTGTGAATATGCAGCCCTTCACTGTAGCTGATTCAGTTTTTAAATGTATAATTTCTTTTTCCATCATCACTAATCTTTTTCTAAATTCGTCTTCTATAAAAAAAAAAAACAAATATAAAATTAGAATACATTATCCAATTAAAAAAAAGGTGAATTAACTCATTAAAATGTTTTACCTTTTTTTTGTATTTGTTCACGAATTATATCTCGCTTGCTTATACGTTGCTCCAAAAACTGCATTAAAGTATGTATTTGATTACTATCTGGAGTAATATTTTTCAATTGAGGAAATGGTCCGCTTAAACTAAAATATAATTATATGTTTAATTGGGTCATGTAGCGACAAACAAAACAATTTTCTTTAAATTAAAGCAAATATACTATACCTGTATACTAGACCCAAGTCGATGTCCAGGTTAGCAACTTCTGGCCGTCCCTCTCTTTCAAATTTGCTTCTTGCTTCTTTGAATAGCTAAGAGAGAAAAAATTTGTCATTCTAGAGAATTATAAAATATTATTCAAAATATAGCTAATTTTATTACCTTATTTGGTTGTCTCCTTCCAGGAGTAAAACCAAGATCCAATTTTATAGCATTAGATCTCATAGGAGTTTGTACTTCTTGAGTAATTTCCGCAAATTTCATGACTTGCTGTATATAAATATTGTACAAATTAATAACATTGTATTTTTTTAGATAAATAAATTAAAATTTTATTACATACAATTGTTTCATCATAATCATACTGCTCTTGGGTTAGCACAAACGATCACTCTAACTTGTCCTTCACCATCAAAATAGTTCTTGAACAAAAGAAGTGAGCTTAGATTCTCGATAAGGCACCATTTTATTTGTACCTTGGCTCTGATTCTCTCTCAAGATTTCCAGACATGATCGCAAAGTCATTAGAGAATTATTGATCTTTCCTAAAAAGTATTTATCATTAAAACACTTGTGTGAATTTCGTCATAAACATAACGAATAAAAATATGGCAAAAAAATATTTTACCTGCTTCTTGCAAACGTTGACCGGTGTTTTTAGTTCGATTTGTTCGTTCGCTACCTGCTAAATCTACCAAAGATAATTGACTTATACACAAATCTTGTTTATCCTGTGTTACATATTCGCCTTTACTATCTAAAGGTGCCTAAAGTATAAGAAGATAATTAATACTCAAACAGATAAATTTAATACTATAAACCAAGTAAAAGATGTAAAACATACCTGTACAAGTCGTATAGTAAAAATACTATGTGATCTACTTGATTCTGGATTTAATGCCGTATGACCAATACGTCTTTTCCGTTGTCCACGTTGAAATAATTCAAAAGCTTCCTCTGCACTTCTTACTTCAACTTCTGTGACAGCATGCACATACATATTTTTATTACCGTCTTCTCTAACTTGGAGTGTCCTATAAAAAAAAAGATTTGTCTTAAGTAACAACACAAAATTGCAACTAAACTTTTACACTTGTAATAATAAAATAAGTACTTACTTAGATCTAATATCCTCCTCATCTAGTAAGTCATAAACATTGTTATTGTATATCTCAACATATGTGATAAATACAGAATAAACATGATCTGGTTTAACCAGAATAGTGAGTGATTCATTACATCCATGATTTACTATTGGATCTCCATCACTGTCCACTTTACGCCTATCATACATTATCATGAAATAAATTATTATAGTTATGTATAATTAAACATGAAGATATTTCTCTACGAAAAAAAACTTACAGTTTGCCAAGCCTTCCAATTCTTTGTATGTTTGGATAAAGTTCATTTCTCTCCAACATAACATCACCTTTGCTTTGTACATCAAAGCCATTCAATTTGTTTGGTTTAAAGACAAACTTTTTTGTTTGATAACTTGCAATGGTATTGAAAATAACATCCAAACACCGAGGTATGATACCAGCATCTTGTGGTTTTCCGGTCATAGTATATGTCTTTCCACTTCCTGTCACTCCATATGTAAAAAGGAGACCATTCCTTCTATGGATGAGATTTTCAACAAGGGGGAAAAGCAACAACTTTAAATATTTCTCTCTGCTTTATATCGTGTGTAAAAACACGACTGAATGTTGTATGTATTTCTTTGTTGGTCATGGTACGAAAGTTGATCGCAGATTCTGGTGACGATATAATTACTTTCGTATCGTTAACAACTTTCATACATGATACATCCGATGGAGAATGCATCGGTCGTAAACGACAATAAACTTGTACAGGATCTTTAGATATCACATTTGATCCTTTTAGTTGATTAATTGGCTCACGAGCCGGTGTCTTTGAACGTCTGAAACATTCATGAAAATAAATTATTTCAAACGTGTACACTTGTGCCAGGCTTTTATATTTCATTAAAATACATATAAGCGTGGCATTGCAGATTATTAATCAGCATTGTGTTTGAACATTAGTTTTGTGATACTCACGCAGGCTTCATTTTTATATGTCAGTCCACTTTTTAATATGTAAGTTAGTACATTTCTTTATTATATAAAAGATGCTCAAACAATCATACGTGATACTGTTCTTTTCTACACTGTATTATGACAACCGTGCACATGAAAAGTCGTTACGATCTTTCAAATTAAACCTTCGAATAGATATTTCGCATAGTATCCAATGTTACCAACATCAGTTAAACAGTGATGTCATAAAGGGTGCTTTCTAGTAAAAAAACACAAATCGATGGAGCAATTTTCATAGTCCAATCTTATAACCTTCTTTTTATTTATAACTATCAGAGTATGCTAAGGATTCCTGCATATGTAAAAAATGAAAACTTTTATGTGAATTCGATAATTCTATTCATCAAATTTACGTGAAATTTTCACTTTTACGTTTCCGCTCTTAGAGAAAAATTACATGATCGATGCCCAGGAATCCTAAAGGTGTAGTTTGTATTGCATTGTATGCTGCATTTTGGGCTTAAAAAAAATTGAGAACACTCATGCTATTGTGTATACTGTGCCTAAGCTAGTGATTAGTAGTGATCTAGAGTACGTTTTTCGATGAACTGTTGCGTATTTTGTAAATACGGTTGTATGAACAAAATTTGAATTTTATAACACAGAACATTTTATGTAAAATTACAAAGAAAAGTTGAATTTAATAACTGGATAACGAAAAATGTGATTTTTTTGAACGAGCTTTTATACACACATAAACAGAATTTATAGATAAATTCATTATATGTTTAATATTTGTATGGTAAGCTTCATGTATATTCCACAATGTGTTTTTAATAATAATTGGATGAAACATAATGTATTTTTAAAAAACATGTTTTTAGTGAAATTATTGGTTTTATAAACAATTATTGCATAATTTGAATTACATATAAGTCATGTTGACACATAGTAAAGCAATTTTGAGACCAAAAGTTAGATTTTCTGAATCTTCTAATAATATGCCAAATGAGGAAAGTGTTCAACATTTTGAAGAAAAAGCTGTTTTGCAAGTAAAGGGTCCAACAGTTAAGAGTATTGAAATTCTTAAAAAGCCTGTTAGAGTTATATATCCTAAACAACAGGCTCATAATAAAGATACACTAGTGAGTAAGACAGAAATTTTGACACATTTTAATGATGCTGCATCTGAGAATATCCACAATACATCTCCATCCAATAAAAATTTGACAAATGTTAATATTTCGAAGATTTTATGTAACTCCAATAACACTCAAAAAATTGGAAAAAATTATAAAGAATTGCCACTTGATAAAAGCTCACAAAATAATGTTGTAAAGGATTACAAAAAAGATTTGCGACAAATGGGAAAAGAAAACAAAAATACAGTATTGAAGAAAACTGTACTTAATAAAAATAAAAGTAAAAAAGAAACAGGGAATATACAAATGGTTGTACAGAAAACAAATACTGTAGATGTTAAAAGTTCAAAAACACAATCTGCATCAAGAATTATGAAAAAAAGAAATCAAACAACTAAAACTGGAACTCTTAATGTAAAACCTGTCATGTACAATGCTATGCCATACAAGAAGACAATAAAAAAGCCTGCTGTTAAAAAAACTGTATTGCGTAATGTATCAGATCGTAAAGTTAAAACTTCTGTGGAACCAGGGATTTCTCGCAAAAGACAAGACAACACAAGTGCTGATAATGCAAATGAGAAATATATTGTTGCAAAAGGTGTTAATGTAGAAAGATTGGCACAACCAGAATATAACTCTATCATGTGTACCATTAATAAACTAAAAGAACTTGAGCAACAGAGAATTGTTACAGATATTGATCATTTGTCATCTGCACAAAAGAGTCTTATAACAGGAAAGGTAAGATCTTATAAAAAGTAAGATAATACCATATATCTAAAAATTATTTAATATTTTTTTATGATAGATTTCTACAGCGCTGGATTTTCCATTGGATGAAGCAATTTATAAAAATTTGGTGGACTTGAGTGTAGATGAAAAACAGCTGCCATCTACTGTTATGCGGAGCAAGGATCCAGAGCCGCGGCAAAGAGATATTACACCAAAACTTTCTGATTTTTTTATACCTGAAGATGCAAAAGAAATTTGCGAGGCTGTGCAAGTTAAACCTCGAATCCTCAAAAATGAAAATATGAATTTTTTAAAAATTTGTGATAAGATATTTGAAATGTGGAAATTTGATTCATATGATATAGAATAATGTATTTGTATATATTTTCATTTGCACATGCTATATAAGTATATCAAATTTTAACTCTCGTAATGTCAATTAGATTAGTTTTAAGAAATGTTAATAATTTAATACTATAATAAAATTCAGTGAAGTGCAATAATAAATAAGTAATATGTAATAAATTTTTATATTAATACCAATATGTATGGGAATTACATTTAATAAATTACCATTTTACAAGAGATTAATTTGCTAAATGTTATTAAAAAAGAAAATTAACAGTTTATAATCAACAGTGTACAGTTCACACTAATTACAATATAATACAATTGGCTTAATATATTCTAACAGAATAGAAACAAATTATTAAAAACATGATATCAGTTGTCTTTCTGCTTACATTTATAAATAAGATATTAATACTTTGCTACAATACAAATTTAATTAAGTATATGTGTAATCTTGGAATGATACCTTTATTGATCTTTCTTCAGATTCAAATTCTGATGGCATTGATACGGAATTAATTCCATAGTATCTCTGTCGTAGGTAATGATAGATACGACGCAAATTGTAGTAAAGACATGTGCCGATTAGTATCATTGCAATTACAGTTCCAGCTATGATCGCTCTATGAAATTAAGATTTCAGTAGATTAATTTTAATACATTACAAAGTATGATATATTTTTCAAATTATGTCTCATATATTTACATGGTGATCCATGTATTGTAGTTATTGTAGCTGCAGCATATATTATCATCGCAACAATACTCCCATGATTCACACAATCCCCACACACAATAATGTGCAGTAGCCTAAAATCAACAACAGACATGTTAGTATAATTATAATGTTAGGTAAATTATAAAATGTCGGTAGAGTGAAATTTTAGTTTTCCTTAACATTAATACGCAAATATTCCTTTTTTCTTCCTTCTTTTTAGAAATGTCAAATTATAATATTTACAAATTTACGAGTATTTGCAAATATTTATATCTGAATCTCTATAAAAAATAAGAAGCACAACAGTTGAAATTATTAACGATGCAATGCAGAAATCATAAATTACCGGTGAAATTATGAAAATCCAGATTAATATAAAAATTATACTATTTGACAAGTACTCCATTATGGATCATGATCGTTAACCGTAACACATTTGTATAGGAGTACAGTGTGATTAGATTTAAGATGCAAGAAGCAAGCAGTATGAATAGAGGGGATACTGCACACACCGCACAATCTAAGATTAACGTGCGAGACAGAATAAGCATCACCCTATAGATTCTTTCTCTCTCGGCTCGGAGTCCTTTTCAGCCAAGACTCAAACCAAAATTTATCCACGTTTATCTTAGGTGATTTGCGCATGGTGCGGTATCCTCTCCATTCATGCTGCTTGTTTCTTGCATCTCAAATCTGGTCACACTGGCATGTTGCAATATATACAAATGCAGTTTAGCGGGAATAAATTCTAATACTCTAATGGAAAGATATATTTATGTAAAACAAGATAAAGAAGAAATCGAGTTAATAATTTGGAATGAGACACAGGTAATAATGATACAAATTTTCCATTTAAAAGTGAAACACACGAGTGAACCAAAATGTTTGATTAAATGCGTAAGAAACATTAATAACTTCAAAATCAATATCTACATGCAATTAATTATACAGGCAATGATATAGCTTATAGTATTTTAATGCTATTCAAGATTGTTAAATTTTTGATATAAATTTTTAAATAATACAATAATTAAGTTTACAATTGCATACATTAAAGTAATATTATATATTGGTCACAAAGTAATATAAGTGGACGGTTCTGGATAACAAAAATCGTTGTGTTTTACATTACAAAACATCTTAGCTCTAATTGTTATTAGTTGCTGGCTTAATTCATTGGAGCGGCATAATTCATTTGGGTGCAGAAAAAAGTTCTCGTTTTTTTCTGCTCTTGCTAACAATAGGTAATATAAGGATTTGTCTCAAAAAATATGCACTATGTACTTGTTCTTCAGTCTACAGTTAGTTTATAATACACTTTTATAATTATCTTATTCTGTGTTATCTTTCCTGTTTGTCATTCTATTGTTTTTAAGTACAATTTTCTATTATGATTTTACATCACACGCGCACATATACACACAAATCGTTTTTTTTGCAATATTTCTGGAACTAAGTAATATTGAAACAAAAATTAATGTACATCTCCGCAATTAAATAACAAAATTAAGAAAGATAATACTTAACAATTGATTTCTTACTTATGTACATTTTTAAGTACAAACATGCAGATATTTTTTTACTGTAAATTATTAGATAGATTATTATACAAAGAATGCAAATTTAAAACACAACTTTCTGTAAAATTATTTTTGTGAAAGAAATCAGCCTTCTACATATGTATGTACATTTAAGTTATATTTTATTATAAAAATTATTGCACTTTTTAAACATTGATCTTCAGAAGATATAGATCCAAATGATTTATCTTTCCATAGATAAAAACATTAAATGCATTTTGCTTAGAAAATTTAATAAAGCATATAATTCATGTTTGATTCTATGTTTCATATATAAAGGAGAGATATAATAAATATTTAACAAATTTTTGTTCTATATATATATGTATATACCAATATATGTATATATCTGAAAAGTATTTAACATCTCTCAATCTTATCAGAATAGATAGTAGTTAAAGAGATAAGTTGTGTAAACAATAAAATTAGAAAAACTTAACAGTTACTAAGTAAAATTATGCATGTGCATCAATCCTCAGATTTGCCTGTTAAAATCAAAATATTATATTATATTATCATGTGCCAGTTTTGGCATTTAATATTTTTTGTTAACAGAAATAATGAATTTAACATTCCGTCAAATGTGTGAATTTATAATGTGCAAAGATAAATTATATCCCTTTCAATTCTTGTAGAATTATCACAACCATTTGTAAATTTTACATATATTTCTTTCTTTTGCTTTGAAATAATTTAACGAAGTCAATTCTTAAATATTGTATCAATTACCAATTTAAATTCTTTAAAATTTTCTCTCTTTTCTTATAATAAAAGATTATTTCTAGTCACATTTACAAAGATTTCGATTATTTTAGGAAAGACTAATTCATCACATCATTAATTAATTTACAAATTGTACGTCCATGTTCCTTTTGCCGACTGAATGTAACGAAGTGGTGTAATTGTATTCCTAACATCCGGGTTTTTTGATCTTCTAACACAATCTTGGCTTAAAACTCTGCATCCCTGATTTAAAATAACATTGTTACCACCACGAGGAATGCTATCACTGCTTGCCACGCGTCTCACATCGTTACTTTTTCTCTCCTCATATTTTTTCGACGATGAATTGTCCAATACTAAGTCTCTGATTTTACACACAGATTGATTATTTCCGAGTAATTTCGGACTCGGGTCGATCGATACGGTTTTCGGGCTCTGTGTTGAGCAAGTTTTATCGGCAGGCCCGTTTCGTCGAGTCTGATGCTTATCATTATTTTCTTCAAATAATCGATAGTCAAGTGCACGATGCTCGTCATTGTTGCAATTTCCATCGTTATCAGCATACTGGCTAATCGTATTAGTTATCGTAGAGTCAAGTGAATCGGAGAATTCTGGGCTGGGAGCAGAAGATATGCTGCCGATTTGAGAGAAAGTGACCGTCCCCTGAGGATTTTGGGGACGGTGTCAGAAACATCATTCTTCCAGTTCATCCATTCGATTTCTAACGGCCATTTCTACCACTTCTAAGCTTGGATAATCCAATTCTTTAACTAGGCACAGTACAGCGGATAATATATTTGAATTCTAAAAGAGAGATACATATTATAAATGATAAAAACAATCCAATTTTATAATCACATATATTTTAAAAGACATAAAACATACCCTTGTTACTGGACGTCTGTGATAGTGAAATTGTCTGCATTTATCTTTTTCAGAGTGTCTTACCCAACCAGGTACTTGACTTGTATCTTCCTGCAAACATTAAAACGCATTAATTTTATTAAAAATTTTTTATAGTATTTTGTACCATAACAATGCCTGTCTTCTAGCAAGAAATACAATCGACATAAATCGACACAGTTGAAAAACAAAGTAAAAAATTGGTGTGCATAGTAAAAAATTATGGTTGCCAATTTTAATAATTTTTTGAATGTTTATACTAAAATTGTATGCAACACTAAGTACTGAAATATTATTTTCTTTTTAATCTCTGTTTTGCTTCCAAAATTTATCAATAAATTAAGGATGCAATAAACTAATCGCTATGTTAAATAAAAATTAATTCTTATCGAGTTACAGTTGTAATGAGATTAAATAATTCGTTTTAACACTTTGTACTCCAAAAGTACACACATGTATGCCATCGTAGCAGCACTAGTGAAGTGCAAGAGATATTAATAATTGTCGTATATTGTAGTTACTTCAAGTAAAAATAACAAGTGTAAATTTTAATTATAATTATAATTGAAGATAAACAAATTTGCTTTAACGCAAACTAGCATTTATCAAGCATGCATACATTATGTTCAATTGTGTGATATAGTATCTATCTGTATTTTCTTGCTGAAATATCCTTATCCAATTAAATATTTGGAATCATATCGTAATTATGATTTGATATAAGGATAATATACAATTTATCTAAATCTAACCCTTTCAATTCTTTCGTTATGATGAGTCATTACCCTCCTTGTTTGAGATGTCTGAAGTTGCGGTAAATCTTCATATTGCGGTGAATCTTCATATTCTAATCTTGTTCTCTCATCATAACTATAATTATTTCTCTCGTTACGTTTATCATCTGTGGGTTCGTTGCCAGCATATTGTGTACGTTGCGGTGTTGGCGTATACAGGCGCTGAGAAACTTCATTTCCGCTGTACTCAGAATAAGGTCGCCTTTCGTCATAATCTCCGTTATGCCTTTGTCCTACCGGTCGATCATCATAATCCTAAAACATCATTTTCAATAAGCGCGAATAATATACACTATGTAAACTGTATTCGGAAGAAAATTGTTTCAAATATTAATTAGTCGTAAAGAGTTTTACTAAGAATATAGAATACAGATTGATTGATTTTTACAGAAGTGATGTAGAATGATGTAGAAGAATAAAAAAAAATATGAATGTAAAAGAACAAGAATAAATAAATAGAAGAATAAAAAAAGTTATCGATATATTTTACATTAGAATGCAATTTTTATCACTTCTACATTTGGATAATCCAACTTGTTTTGATAGAAACAGCCGCTTTCTCTTTGTTATCAGCCCAGGAATTATTTTGATTCTTTTGATTCTATAATAAAGTTTAGTCGCTACACACTGATGATGATAAAATTATGATTTCATCTGCTTAATCATCAGTTATTCAGTGATAAGCAATAACTACAGTGCAACTATAGTCAATATACCTTGGATATTTCAAGAGTGTTAGTCACCACAGTCTCATTGTTGCTGCGTGCCTCTGTACGCACAGTGTCATCTTTGCTCTGATTCTTTGATTGTCCATTTTGCAGCTGTTAGTATAATTAAGGTGATAAGACTTTGAAAGTTATAAGTTGCACTTGACGACTAACTCTTTTGATTTAATTATTATAATTTTATAACAAGAATAAGTTAATGAATTAATCACATTTTACTTTAGAAAATATTGCATCAAGAACTGTATTGTAGTAGCAAAATAATACTTCCCAGGATAAGCTACATTTGGTTATTAATAAATTGTTATTTACTTTTGAAAATAATCGAGATATTAAAAGAGATATGTGATGATATGCATGACTGACCTCATATGCATACTGATTATTTTGTGAGTAATGATGAGAAGATGATGCACTATAATTTGCGTTTCTCCTGTCAGGATCATATTCTTCATGCGCGTGTAGTATTTCATCAAAGCTTCTCTGAAAAATACAGGCCCATACGTACAGGTTATTTTAATAATTATACATATTATATGTTACCAGATAAATTATTTCAATGATTAATGAGAAGAAAAGCTAGTAAAAATAAATTTTATGTGTGATGTTACCTGATCGCCAGAAGAACTGTATCTCCTAGTTCGTTCCAATTCAGCTTCTTCAATGTATGCTATATCCTAATTTAGTATAAATATTATTTAGCATTTCAATAATTGTTAAGACATTTAAAATATATGTAAAGGATTTTTTAAATTAATACATATGCATATTAATGTACGTAAATTTTAATAACAGTTAAATGTATCTATTAATTTTAAGACAGTACATAAAGTTTACAACAAAAAGTATGAAAAATAATTAATGAAATATAAATATTAAATGCACATGAGAATATAGTAGTTTGGCATTCTACCAATATTTTTGTTATTGTTATTATTATATGTCATTTCAGTACAAATTGTTACCTCTGGGCTTATTGCATCCGATTGTGGAGAAGCATCCATTTCAAGAGGATGTACTAAAGGTCGACCTATTGTCATTGCAGTTTGCACCTCTTCAGGTGAGACTACTTTATCATCCAATTTTTCAAGATTTGGTAAAGCTCGAATTACGGCAAATCGATATCTATCAAAACGATATATCGTATATAAAGTTTCCAACAATCTTTCTTAACAGTTTCTATATTAAATATTCACCCGTCTTTTTCCGCACATGGATTTTCACCAAGCCACAAATTCCGTAAATTAGGTAATCCTTGGAGATAGCAAACTTCATTTAAATCTTTAATATTGTTCCTCCTTATAAATAAATCCTGGAGCTTGTGGCAATATTGAAAATCGGCAAGAGTGTTAATATTATTTATGCTAAAAACAAATATAATATTATTTTCGTTTAAAAAATTTCATTTTTTAGATTAAACAGTTTTATACTAACAATACTCATTTTTAAACAATAAGAAATATTAATGCTAATATTGTTTAATAGCCATTCACGTAAAATGATTTACTAATAGTTCACATGTAATTTCACATGATACAAAATATTTTCGCTAAACTAAATTTTTATTTTCTTATTTCATACATATGTACATAATATTAGTGTGTGATAATATCAGTGATTGATAAAGTGGCACATGCTTTTTTTTCTTTGTTATATCGTGCAAAAAAAAATTAATATGCTTTTCATCAAAATTACATGCTTTAAAGTAACTATAATAATCCATTTAGAATAGCAAGAACATAAGTAAAACTGATTTTTATAAATTCAATGAGATATTGAAAATATTGTAACATTATGCTGAATTTATTGAAAAAATAAGTTATACAAACAAGCACAGTTTTCACAAAATACATAATTTCTTAAGAGAAACAGAGATTATATAAATTTTCATTTTACTTTTTTGTTTCACACAAAAAGGCCAATCTTATATTATATCCTGTAATAATATATTTACTATTATAAGAGAAATAAGAAACAAAAGTTTTTTCCAGCTTTTTAGCTTAGGTTTCAGATATGCAAGATATAACTTCTTATAAATATGTGTGCCCATACTTTTCAATGTTACTCAGACAAACCACAATGAATTCAAAGCAGTGTGTGGGCAGAACAACTTCTGAAGTTGTGGGTTGTGACCATGAGTTTAATATAATCATGTCCAAAGTAGGAACACGATGCAACTTCTATGTTTTCATAAGATGAAAAATATCTTGGATTGTGATCAACAGAATGATTTCATTCTTGAGTAATAAGCTATTCGCTAATCAACATAATAGAAAATTATACTTTTTGATTTGATTCTAAGTTGTATACGAGCTTCTAATAGATAAAATTTTACAGATTTGTTATATTTTTCTTATGATTTTAATAAGTATTAACTTACCTCAATGATAATACTTCTACATTTTTCATCTTTCTCAAAATGCTAACATCTGTTAATTCTGTTCCCCTATATAAGAAAAAACGCATTAATACAATTCAGCAAATCGTTATAACTTATGTATTATATAGAATGATTTCAAAACATATGCAAATAGCAGAATTTTAAAAGAGCATTCTACACACACCTTATAAGGAATCGTATGAATATGTATTCTAAAACATTTCTATTTTTAATTGTAAATGGTTTTTGTTGCGACGAATATTTATAAAAACGTTCCTAAAATTTGATTCATATATTTAAAAAATGCTATATATACATTTGGACAAAACCACACTAAACAATAAGTTTGCCATAAAATTTTTCATGTATTCCTTTACATGGTAGTATCTTGAGAATAATAGATACGCTTGGATGAACATAATTCCGTTTTTTTTTCTCACAGTAGTGTATAAAAATTTAACCTAGTCGCACGATTTTGTTCACACGGATGAGTCGAACGAAGTGCGTTAATCACTCAGAGACGATTAAATCGTCGCGAATCAATCCGCGGCGGATATTGTATCGTTAAAGAAAAAAAATGTCGATATAAATACTCACCAGCAATTGAGTTTCTTTACGGCGGAAAAGTCAGACATTCGCGTACGAGCCACGACCATTTCTTCTGTCAGCTTCACCATTCTGTCATTCGCGTTTGGACGTCGTCGTGTGATGAAAGATTAACGTTTTGTTGTTCAACCACAAATTCCACGTTAATGCACGATTCGAAATCGTACACTATCACAATGAATTTTCAGAATATCCTGACTGTACATCTTAACCGATCGCCATGATGTCTTACCGTCAACTAGACACGAAGTAGGCTGCGAGCGCTTCAAATGCTTTCACTGATCGCCACTGATCGCTCGCGTCTGCTGTGCTCCGAAATGCAGCGCAGAAAACCTCTAGTATACATAACATGAACTATAAGTTGTCAGTACTGCCAGTGAATATTGAAACGTAACTTATATCTGTGTGCAACTACAAATGGCAAACGGACGCTACGGAACTTTGTGCGACTTGGTACGATTTTGCAGTAAGTGTATTACCGTGTCTCTTTTTTATTATACTTTTTTGTATTTATTGTGGAATATTTGTAACATGTCAAGGGTGACTATTTTCAATGTCGATTAACTTTAATCGCCGATTCAAACTTGTTGACCAAACGGCCAACATGAATGAATGAAATTCTGTCGACAAGTTTGAACCATCGATTAAAGTTAACACATTGACACTGGAAATAGTCATTCTAAATAATTGAATAAATAATAAATAAAGTTGTATACACAATCAGTTGAAAGTAAAAGTTCACAGATATATTAAAAAAATTATCCAATTTTTATTTCTAAGTTCGATCATTATTATTTCGATATTAAATTACGCTCCATGTATTTATATTTTAAGAAATTAATTGTCGTAAAGAATAATTTTGTTATATATTTTTCATTCAAATGTCGCTAATGTGGTAATGTTGAAAAACTGCAAGCCTGATATGAATTTATATCTGTTTTTTTGACAGATATTGCTTATTGATTATATTGACGTATCAAAATATCGTAAATATTGTTTTCTCCGAAGACAAAATAAATATAGACACGAAATCGAATTAAAAAGAAGTATCACTCTGTATGACTCTGTTCTAACATTTAGTGCTATCTTTCTAATTCAATGCGCCCGCCGCTTTGGCGTAAGAGCGTAGGTCTTGCGCAGTTTATACTTATTACGTCTATGGTTTTCCTCAAATTGAGAAACACGGGAGTTTCGCGCCAATTTACGTGTAACGAGACCGGCCATGTTAGATAGTTTATGCGAGTGGAAAGATCTGAGATTTTGACGATATTTTTGATTAGATTATTGCAAAAATAAAAAACATTTCTGATGTAGAAATATTCTTGGTGAGCAGGTAAATAACTAGTGGTCAGAAATACTTATAATTCTTTATTGTCTGAATCGTTCTTACGATTCATTAGATTAGGTAATAAAAGGTTACACTTTTGCGATTAATTATTTTATGATGTATTGGTATAAAAAAAGTATTTAAATAAAGTCAAATACAATATAGTAATAGTATAAAATAAATTATATGGAATTAAGAAAACAAAATATTATACAATAAAATAACAAACTTTGACAAATTGAGATATGAAGTAAATGTTGCAGTGGCTGGACATTTAAGAATTAATTATTATTAACAATATAATTCTTTCTATCAATAATAATATTTTTTTTCCTTATCTTTCAATAATAAAATCAAAATTACGATTATTAAATGACGATAGTTGATTAAATATTTGCAAAAACAATTGCATATGTGCCACAGTTTCTGGACATTATATTTATAAATATTAAGTAATTATGTTTTGTTAATTATGTTTTGTTAGTTATGTCTTCTTAATACATAGTTGAAAACTGAATCACATCCAGTTACTGGAACATTTATCTTATATTTTTTCAACAAAATCTCATATTACATTTTTTTAAAACAAAAATTTACAATATTTACAAAATTACAGATTACTGCAGTTTATATACAGCACGAGAAACGAATAAATGGAAGGAATGAAACAAATGTTTGGAAGTTTGCCACTGTGAAGAATGCTACTTACCTACGTATGTATTATAAGCAATGCAAATAATTGCAAGCAACGCAAAATTGTATTAGTACAATTACCTGTGGTAGCAATTTAAAAAATCGTTATTTCCTATATGTAAAGAATAAATAGCTGATATTTTAGCATGTAATAAAAATATTCCTAAAAATAAAAGATTAAAATTAAATTAAAACAACATATTAAATTATATCAATAAACATGTAAAAATATATTAATAATTTAATTTATTAATTAAAAATATTAAATAATAAGTATATTAACAAACATATTAAATTATAAATTTTGTACGTTTTATATTTCAGGTTTAGACTTTTATATAAAATGGAGTCTACATAATTGAACACCATCTTTGATATCTAGAAAAACAGAAAATGGTAAGTACACTGTGAGTACATAAATATAAAGAATATAATAGGGGATATAAAAATTAATTTAATATAAGAATTAAATTTTTTAATCTTTACCTGTTTCCTCTTCTTATATTCATGTTAAACTAAACTGTTCCTTAAAATCATTAACCACATATTAATATATAAAATATATAAATATAAAGGATAGAAATACTAAAAATAAAAATATTAAATTTAAATCTGAGAAATGAAAACAGTTGACAAAATTCTGAAAAACAAAAACATTCAATTAAAATCTGAATAAAAACATAATAATAACAACATAAAATAAAACAATTAAATATAACACCCTAATGCATTCATGCGTACTAATGATGCATTGCGTACTGCTCGCGCGTCAAAATTGGTGCTTTCAGTCATTTGGTTGCTGCTGCATTTCGCTGCGCTTTTCCGCATCAAATTCGTATAACTGAGCATTTATTTGCATATATACGTATTTATATATATATCTGTTAATTTACTTAGCTAATGTTATATGAACTAGCTACAATATATTTTAAATATTATGAAATTATGCAATATTAAACATTTATTTTCTCTTTCAGTTCCAGCTTAAACTGGACAGTTGGACAGTAATATATTTTTTTACATTAAGAAATGTAAAAGTTGGACTGAACGTGGAAAAGTGGAACGTGCTGGCGAACTGTGCAATTAAATTGTGTGGCTGAACGTGCAGCGGGGACATGGAATGGCATTATCGGTGAGTGAGCAATACACACACATTTAACGTTTCGGGTACAATAGTTTATTTTCATTGTCATCTTCAGCTCCATTACATACAATATTCGATATATAATACGATTTAATAATGTCATTAAATACGAAGTACGAAATCTATCTAAACGCTAATTGTCCTAAATCGGTACTTTGTCTCGTTTTCTCATACAAATAAAACGCTCGATAATTAATTATTGACAATTATTAATGTATAGGTAGATAAGCGTTTTGTCTTTCAATTTGTCGTAACAGCAAAGCGACCTATCTCTTCGTGAGATAAATCGGATACCGAAATACATATTTTCATAGAGACTTCGCCATTGCACCTGTGCGTGTGCGTGTCTTGGCTAAAGTCTTCTTTATGAAAATCCGTAGAAACATGAAAGAAAAACAGCATTTGGGTGGGAAGACTAAAGCTCAACACATTCGACACGTTCGCGGATAATGCGATTATGTTTTACGTATTAAGCACGAATTAAAGCTGTTAATTTTTAGATTAGTATAAAATAAACAAATTTAGTTTAAAAAGCTTATTAATTATTTGACAAATCACTAAATTAATGATTAATTGATTAAATTATTAATTTAATTGATCAACAATTAAATCAACAATTTGTTTGAATAAGTAAATTGTTAACAAGTTCTACAAGTTAGTTTCACTACTATTAATTTTTCTTTATCAATTTCTGACAACAAAGCAAGATTTTGATCACTTTCACTGATCGCTTTGTCCGTGAATGCATTAATTAGTGACGAATGCGTACTACTAAATAATATTACTATTCAATTAATGAATCTGCCTATTTAATGTAGCGAACATTGTGCGTCTTGGCCATTTGGCACTCACGACGATGAAAAAATGAACATAATGAAACCTAATACGAGTTGATTGCAAACATAATCTATTTGCGTTTGTTCGATGCTGCTACGTTGAGTGTATGTAGGTGTATATTTAAGTATATGTGCTCGTATATGCATATACATATATGTATAAGAATCAGAAGTTGAAGTTGTGGTTTTGAGGTATGACATTCAGACGCGTACAACATCTCAGGAGGATTACATGTATAAATTAGAGCTAGGACTTTATTCTCGGGTGTGAACGATATTCGATATACTCGTCTCGACGGATATCATGACACAAGACATGTAGATATGTATTTCGAGTAGTTTGCTTCCGCGAATTCCGTAGTCAATATCTCTCCAATGTCGATACAGTTTTTTTTATTTTTTATTTTTTTTATTTAATAAACGCGAGAAAAAAATAGTAAGTGTCAAAGTTTATGTTGTTAGAATAAAATATATGGTAGTTCTTTCTTACTAGCGGTAATAGTGCAATTGCAAATTGCAAATTCGGAAGGGATAATTTGTCTCTCATTTTTGCTGTAAAACTAACTATACTTAGGGATTATTTCACAATGATGTAGGTGCATTCATATTTAATGCCGTAAGATGGAAAAGAATTCTACGAGCAGGATTAATTTTCTATCAGAATAAATCAAAATTTTATCAACTCTTAGATTAATTAAGAATAAATTAAATTAAAATTAAATTTAGTATTAAATTCAGTATTAAAAGACCCAATAAAATGTTAATCTAATTGATCAATTATTAAATTTCGTGGGGGTTATCTAACATCTGAGATTGTAATTAATAAACAACAGGATTTCACAATCAACATACATATATCGAGACTAACGGCTGTGCACTCGGTTTCTCAATGTTAAATGAGTGTGAAAAATGTATCGTATATCGCGATACAAATTTAGTCCCGCTGGTAAACAGTAATTCGTGTCAATTATCGAAATGATTCCGATTGCCTTTAGTTCTAGCATAGATATGCTACTCTCACAAAATATACGACACCGTTATCACGCACGAGAGTATCGTCTAAACGTGTCTAGTAAACCTCGATAAACTTCAGTGCATCGATGGTGCGCATATTTTATTACTCGTCGAAATCGAAATTACGAAGTCATATCAGTCGAGATGATCTAGCGTTAATCTATCCACCCCCTTAATCGTCGTGTGATTTTCATCTTCTCGTCCCGCGAGGCCGAATTCTCGCGCGACATAGACACTAGGACACTTTGTTAAATATGTATAAATTCATATCAAGAGATTTTTTTTTCTTTTTGCTATGGCATCGAAAAATCATCAAAACGTAAGTTTCTCGAAATGGAAGATTCATTTTTGCGTGCGAACGGTGGAGACGATGATGAGGCGCTCCGAAAGAAAATCCGCGGCGTCATGCATCTAATGTCAAAGATTGTCGGATCAATTATCTGAGCACGATGCTTGCTGATGTCATGAGAAAATTTATTTTCCATTATTCGTTTTCGTTAATTTTATCGGGAGGTAGTTTTGAACACGATACAATTTTACCGAATTATTTGCTTATTTGTGACAAAAATTGCATTTCTACAATACCTTGTTTTAATCGCGTTATTGTAATATAATAATTTTAACATTATTCGAAGATTGTGGTAGTGATTCACATAATTCGCGTATGTAATTGCATAGTTAATTGTGCCGCGGATATTTACTATATACTACGTATTCAAAGTGCATACACACTCGTACGTATTGATTGTATCGCGATGTATCGGTTAATTAAGATATTACCAATTATCTAGAGATATCTACTGAACAAACGATTTATCGCGTATTTAGCATGTCATCATCGTTACCAGCCGTCGCAGTTGCACTACCTATATATCGCACGATTATTAACGTACGTGTGTATCAACTGTTTTTGTTTTTTTCACACGTTCCAATTACGAAATAGACATTGAATATGAAAGAACATTTGGCGAAATGCTCGAAAAAGTCGAAGAGATTACAGTTTCGCATTAGCTGTACTCTACAGGAAAGATCGATAGCGATGTACGTTTAGATCGCATTGAATTGACTATCTAGTGGATAATAGATTATCACGAATATCGAGAGTGCGATCGTTTCTTTTTCTATCGAAGGATTTCTATCGTATTTCAATTACATTTGAATACACGAATTTAATCGCGATGTACACACGCGCAATCCGCTAATCGTGTAGCCACGATAGTAAAATATAGAAACTTTGAATTCTTAGTCTTTGACAATAATTTGCACTGGCCTTGCACCGTTTCTTATTATGCTTCTCAAAGATAAACGTGAAACGTTCGTATTTCACATCTTTTATGGTAATTTTTTTTTTTTACGGTAGAATAATTCGCGAATGTGCTATGTGTTTGACGTTCTTAGGAAAATATTAGATTATTATTAAGCTCGTATCAATGTATTTTTCATTTAATGAGGTCAGCGATTCGCCATTAAATACCAAAAAAAAAAAAAGAACGGGAAAGAAAATAATCAATGTATGAGAAAGTAATTCACAAATATTTGAAAACAATTGTAGAAATAAAAATGATTATAACGCAAAATCTATTATTAATTGATAATTAATATTCACATTTTGATATTTTTAGCATTAAAACAAATATGAGATACGAGAACGTAATTTGAACGTTTAAGTGAAACAACTGTTAGTATGTTTTGTTCAGTTTGCATCAGATTACATATTAAAGATTGAGATTGCATTGTAGGCGCATTAGATTAGACAAGAACAGAGAAATATTTGCCTCTTTTGTTCCGCTGATCAAATCTCTTGTGCTATTTCATAATCAGCGCAGTCTCAATTTTTCACGCGCAGTCTGATACGGGCTGATTATCGGTGATAACGATCAAGCGACTGTAGCGAGGCTTAAGGACCGACGTGCAAGTAATTAGTTGAAATTATTGTCATCAATGTTATCTAACTGTTAATGATTAATGATATTAATCAGAAATACTGCGAGTGACTTGGAAAACGTTCAAGTACGAAGCACAAGTACGAAGTACGCAAGTAGTCTAATCCACTAGATTGTACAAAATGGAAAAAGTCACCGTTGTAAATTGTCTTTTTAAACATTCACACGACCCCGCCTTATACTAGGTTTTTTTTCCCTATATAAATACGTTTCGCGAGGCTGCATATTACGAGTTTCACCTGTTACGTTTTGTAAACTAAGACTTTGTTGACGAACGAATTGTAGATATACTTCCGTTAACAACGGTAATGTTCGACCATAGGCACGAAATAGTCCAACTAATAACAGTCGTTACTATCGTTATATATGTATACGTATGCATATCATTGTGATTTGCACTCTATAGCTTCTTAATATTATTATCATAATTATCGCAATTATTATTAATAATAATTATATTTTTATTCTTATTATTATTTGTAGTTATTAATATCATTCAATATCAGTATTTCTGGTGTCAACGGTCTTCTTATTATTTGCACAAAGAAGCTACAAGCCGAATGCCATGGATATTTTCCGTGTGTAGTCGCGTAAAAATTCTCCCTTTTTTTTTTTTTAGACAAGATAGGCACAACTGATGGCAACAGAAAAGCTTCTTTCGAAAAGTATCGCGCGTATTAATCATTTGAAGCAAACAATGCACAATACATTCTCTTCATGCGCTTAAGCAAGTTTATCCAAATAGATTTTGTCGTAGGAAAAAAGATTCTTTTTGGTGTTATTGGATATTATTTTCATTATTTTTGTTTGTTATATGCAGGTTATATTCCACAACCATTATACTGTCTTTTAAATCTCTTTCAAAATCTCTTTTCTTTCTTATTTTATTTAAGAGTTTTTAATTTAATTATATTAATTACTTTAAGCAATTTAAGGTTATTCTTTCCTCAGCCAGAGGTTCGAGAGGTTAACATTGATTTAAAATTGATTGCGATTGAAATAAAGCGGAATAGTTTTAGGATTTCTTTTTATAAGGGCGCGCGTGAGTATGCGTACGCACACTCTTTTACAATCTTTTACATCGCGAAGAAATCTAAAGCACCTAATCTCGAAAATTGAGGTAGAATCATAGGGGAAAATGGATTCGTTTGGCTATGTATAGATAATTTGGGTCACTGGTAATAATAGATTTTACAAGGATCAATCTTACAGTCAACAAGAATTATTAGCAATGCATCAAATTATCTGTGCAGCCAATCAGGCTCACTTTTCGCTACATTAGATCAGGGACCACATACACACATAGGTTATTACGAATTACTTTTAACACCGTGATTTCTACATGTTCTCATAAAAGTAGTTGAACTTGATACTGCGAAATTTCAGCATCTCGTATACGAGATTTCGATTGAGCGTGATGTGTCTTCGAGTGACACTAAGTCTTTTTTTTTTTTTGTTCAAGTTATCATCGTCGCAATTAATATAACGATATTCTGCGAACGAACTTTGCAAATTCGTTCTATGCAAAGATCAATAATCACTATGTATAAATGTCGCTCAATTTGGTATGCACGGATGAAAGAATCGTTTTGCAGAAAATGAGAAACGCGCGACTGAAGAGAGAGAAGATTAATGACACTATAAGGAAATACAGTAATGCATTATTCGCGAATGCATTCATACGATATACGATACGACTGTACTAACATTATTTTCGTTTCTAGTCATTCTCGTGATTATACTCACGATAAAGTACTGCCATCGCGTATATTATTGCGTAGGAATTGTTCATAGGTACACATATTTATTAATATATTTCCGCAAGTTTCTTTTCCATAGATAAATACGATCAACGATCATCTATTCTGCTGATATAATGGTTAATAATTGTTGTAATAGTAATTAAAAATAATGACAATAATAGAAACTCAGCGCTTACGATTTCGAACTTGCCCCTGTTTCTTCATAGAAAATATAAACGGTTTTGTGCCGTTTTTTTATACAAAAAAATTTCAACTCACTCCCGTCTTAACAAACATACTTGAAGTAGTATAAAGACCGAGCGATAACATATGACACAGAGTTTGTACAAAAGTGTTGACAGTCGTATGTGTGTGTGGTGTGTGTGTTTTGCGGCTGCACATATACGATTTCTATGCTGAATTGTAAGCTTGCGAGGTTTCGACTCGCAGATTCACACTTCCCCATTCTTGCCAATATTGACGATTGCTAATATTTCTACGCTAGGAATTGACGAGGACATCTCGATCAATTCGCGCAAGACGCCGCGGTGTTAGTATGTTTTTTTTTTCGAGATTACTTCATCACGAATTAGCTAAAACGCTCAAAGGTGGACCATCAGTTTATCAATCTGTTTATTAACCTTAAGTTTTAATTACTCGTAACAGTTACAGTTTACAAACTCGAATTGATATTTTGGTCATTAAATGTTTACTTCTGCAATGATAAGAGCTAGCAAAGTAAGTTCAGTTTCAGTAGCAAAGTTTACTGTTGTCTTGATTCTAACGTTGACTTAAAGTTCTGTTTCCGCTATTTATAGCATCAGTATAGTTTTTATAAAACTATATTGAAGCTTTACTTTTTTTTTACATAGAATATGTTTCGTTTATAAAATTATTAAATAAAAATAAAGACACATTAAATCATACAAAATATCAATTTTATTTATTAAGAACTGTGCTAAAGTACGCAAAGTTCAAATATCGAAAGCATTTGCAACTGCAAAATATTATTGACATTAAATTTATAAAATTGAAGGTTTAAGATAACCTTTTTCTGAAATAATAATAATAATTCGATAATTTTAACGAATTTTAAATTGCATTCGGCAAACAAATTTCTGGAAAATTCAAGGAAACAGAAAAATGTGGACGTTTTAGCGTCAATTCGATTAAGTAATCGTGCTCGCTTTGGTTCTCGTCGTAAAATGATTATTTTTGTGCCAACTCTGTATGCATACATACACGCGAAACAGTCTGTTCCTTCGTGCACTTACTCGTCATCTACACACGTATGAAATGCACGAACGTACGACGCATTCTTTTTGCGTATATGTTTAATGCTGTATGTACAGACGTCACAATCGCCACCGATTAATCGACGACCTTAACATTAATAATACTAGATATCGCTCGCACATTTTCATCTCATCGATGCAATCATTTTTCTTGCATTGCGCCCGAAACACGCGATTAAACATTACATAGCCCGTAAAAGAAGACCACAGGAATCGCTCGTAAAGACAAATTTCCTTGTGTCTCTTTCGCGAATCTTTTGCCGATCTCACGTCGAAGAGAAATCAGGGGAAAAGTATTTCTACGTAGCACCTACTCGTCGTGAAATCGCATTTAATCGCGGTGAATCCCGCATGTGGTCGCCGCGGGAGATTTATTTCCGCCCGAAATCGCGATCAAATCCGAGTCGAAATTTTTCTTCCACTTTCGATTTCAACTTTCGTACATTTACAATAGATTCTAGGAGATTGTAATCGGTTTAATTGATATGAGAATTAAATTCTGCTACTTCATGTCTCAAATAGGTAAGAAACGGATGATTTCCCACTTGGGAATAGAAACTGTAAGTTAAGTAAAATCGGAAGAGGTTGTTTTAAGTATTCAAAGTATTAAACTAGACGTTAAAGTTCACAAACATTTGAAGATACAGATTGAAAGCGAAAAATTTCGATTCGGAAAAGCACGAGTGTTGGCGCGCACGAAGGAAACTCGACGGCTGCTAATTGCCGGATTACAATTCAGCTTTGTGAATAAGTTTTATTACATATTGCTAGAAATTCGCGTACGTGCTAAGAGCTTGGTTACTCCGCAAATATAAAAAATGTTCGCGAGCTCTTCGTGAGCGCGTGCTATCGTCGTGGTGTGCCTGAGAGAGCTGTCTATCCATGTCGCATAAATTCACGCGCGTCACACAATGATCAGTTCGATAGATCCGAAATTATGTTCGATACTTTGATAAAGCATCCTCGGCTCGAATCGCTTCTCTCGAAGGTTCTTTATTCTGTGACCATTGCTGTTTCGTAGCGTTTCTCTTTGTGGCATCGAGATGAAGTTTTATTAACCTACGCACGCAATCGCAGTCGGAGATGTCGGATTTGACAATGACTTTTGAATAATTTTGGGATTTTTCTTCGATTTTCTTCCGCGCAAGCGAGATTTCTTTCTCGCGTTCCCGCGCGGCTACGAATGTTCGTCAAATCGGACAGTCCGTTTCGTGACGAGCGAGAAATTAAGCTGTGACTCGCAACGTGCAATCTCGAGTGGTGACTGAACGTGTGTCTTTGCCACAAAGTACATCCCTGACCGCCCTGCTGCCGCCCCCAGGTCTCACCCTCGATAGACCATCTCCTGCCCCACGAGTGTGCTTTCTAGTTCTGCAGAAGCTCGATTAGCCGTACGTGTCATTATCATTTCGTAAATACTGCAGTTTGCTGTGTAAAAAGTAATTTTTTTTCGTCTAAAACGATTCTTAATTGCAAGGTCAGTGCTTAAAGACCGTATTTTTGGATACGAAAGTACAGTGGAATCTCGACGATCGCACATTAATTACGGTATCTTGGTTTATATTCAAACTTCATTTCTTTTACATATTCAATCGCGTAATCATTATCCTACTTGCGTTAATTGTAAACATTCTGTAATTAGCGAGATTCCGCTGTACAATGCGAGAAATCTGAAAAACAGTGGCGAATACGTTAACGAAGGTAGGGAAAGTGTCTCTTACACACTTGGTAGTTTCGCACGAGTTTTAGATTGCCGTCGTTCAAATTTCTCTAATTAGTTGGTGAGTTGCGATGCAACGTAAGAGAGGGAAAGCCGTTCGTTGGCGCGTGGCTCTTCAGAAGTTTCAGGCGCTGCTTAAAGAATTCTGTCGACTTGCTTTCAAGCGGGAGAGCTTTCGAGCTTATTGCATGAACAGTACGTTCGCCTTGACGATTACGCGAGTATATGTACAGTGAGTAGAAAAAGAGACTTGCATGTTCCATGTTTCTTTGAATAATTTTGCACGAAGAGAAAAAATGTGTCGTTATATAGTGTACTTTATTCACTATATTTATTAGTACAAATAAAAGCAACGTATTTTGACGGACATCTGCATTATATTTTTTATTACTTTGCAGAGAAATATCTTTTTGCTTTGTATAAAATTATTTCAAGAAAAGTGCTCTTTTCAACTACTGTACGCGCGCGGATTATCTTCCTGTGCAAGTGCAATGCGACTTTGCGAAATCTGTTCACCGAAGTTGGCGTAACACGGAAAAGCTCAGGTCGACCCCGGCGAAGTTTCGACAAAGTTTTCACACCTAAAAGGCACTGCGATCGACATTCTGCGGGTTAATTATTGTCGTTGCACCAACTTCTCGATTGTGGAAGAACGATTTGTTTTTTGTGCACGGCTGTGCGTCGACGGAAAAATGTTTCGCGTCGTGTTTCCGCATGACTAGCAAAACGAAATCCTGGCTCGCGAGACACGTTCTTACGCATCGGAAGTGTACGAACGTGCCGCGCGACTTTAGCTTAGCGTCGTAACGAAACGTACTGCGTGTTAAATAAATCAGGTTCCGACTTAGCTTTCGCAGTCATAAATTCGACTTTAATTTTGTGATTCACGCTGTGCACAAACCGACGTTGAGTCATGGAATGCTCTTGAACCTGGCGTTAAAATCAGATGTAATAATATGAAAGCGAAACCGTTTTTAGCACAGTGGCAGTGAAATCTGATGCCGTGGTGTTTTAACGCAACCTCATTTTAAAAGATTTCATTGTTGAAATGGTGAAAACGTAATTTAGCTATTACAGGCGCGAAAATTAATTTTATTGCTCGTAAAAAGCAGCTCCTTTGTTTTGCTATTCAATGCTATTTTTACGGATTCGTCACTGGTACTGTCAATGATTAGAAAAGATCATTTTGCAAATCATACAGAGACGCATATTTCATTTGCCACTCTTGTGTTCAGTTCTACGTGATGCCAGCGCTCGACTTAATTTTCCGCTTTGCCACGCCTCGATCGCCACGCGCGGCGGAACTCGACCGTGCAAATAAGCGAGCTCCCAGGCTCGTTTGTTTTTACAGTGAAAAATAGAATAAAACAAAAAGAAAAACAAAACACGTACGTCTGAGGCGACCTTCTCGCCTACAGCAACATGGTAAAATTTGTTTCTCGTTATTACCAAGCCAAAGTACATAACGATTTAGTGGAACGTACACGTCGACGTAGCCATGCGTGTCTTCATTGCATTCTCAAGCGATTGTCCAAGCATACCAAACCGTTTCGATATTTTAAGCACATTTATTTTCTTCGTATCATGAGCCATTAAGTAATGCTGAGATTAATTGTAATTCCCGATTGAAATGTAAGAGTATGCCACCATGGTTAGCTGATTCTGACATTTTAACTAGGATCCTTTTGCTAATTAAGGATGTATTGGCCACATGTTAAAACATTGACAAAATCATAAAAATTTCATAGATTTGATTATTCTGAATTTTTACGCAAAATCCAAACACAATTCTCTTGTTTGAAATTTATTTAATTTTTATATTTATATTGGTTTTTATGGAAAATCGTGTGCTGCAATATTTATTGACAAGTTTGATTAAACCAGCCAAGTCAAATTTTTCATATACATTATTAAAATTTCAACGAATATTCATACAAAATTTTATTTAAATTTTCTAACTAGTTTGAAAGTTATTTCCTAAAACTACTAAAAATTTATTTTGCTATCTGCGATTTGGCAATTAATCGTCACTTTATTTCTTGCAGTTAATTTCGGAGAGTGTTTTCTTTTCTTTTTATCATCAATTAAAAAATAAATATGAGTCACAGATATCTTCTTCAATAAAAACATTAAAACTCGTAATAGTTTGCACAATGTCGTAACTTTTAACAACACAATATATCAATTAAATTTACTTGATGTTTTAAGAGGGAATAAAAAATATTCTACTTTCAACAATTTTAAGTTAATATTGTACTGCCAATACATCCTTAACATTCTCGCAATTGCTCTCCTTTCACATCGACAGTCGCGAAAGCCTTAAATTCACACTCTTGTCAAGTAAGAAATCATCACGGCGCCCGGAGAAGCGCTACTCTCTTCACCCGCAGATTCCGAATATCGTTGCTACGCGCAACACGTCGCCAAAAGTGGTGGTGAACGTGTTACTAACCAGGCGAGGCACCTCCGAATACCACATTCGCGTACCGTATACGCGCGGCCGTCGCAGGACTCGGCCGACTTGCCCAGCAGTCGGGTGAATCCCGCGACTTCCGGTCGACGTGTACGTTGTTCCCGTTGGAAGGAAATGGTGATGGGGCAGGCGAGGTTCTCCCTAGAAAAGTAGAAAGGAAACCCGGGTGCGGCGAGCGTCCCCCTTGGCCCGTCGGGCCATCCCAAACTGTCAGACGGACGGGTCGCTGCCGGGGGCGGAGCCCGCCTTGCTGCCGTCGGCACCAACTCCACCACCGTCGCCGTCTCCCCCGCCCTCTCCGCCCCTGTACGGCGAGCCGCCGGCCCCGCGCGCCGACAGACCTCGGAAATCCAGGTTGTACTGAAAAAAACGCAGGAAAACGGAGGGTTATTGCACACCGTACACGATATTAGCCCCTCTGCGTGAGCTTGCGTAAGATTTCTTGAAAGCAGCGGCGGATCTACATTTTCGGGGGTGTGAAGCTAATCTCTGGAGGAAAGAGTCCTTTTTAACATGCCACATTCGGACAATGCAATTATAAATACTTTGAAACTTTCGAGAAATAATATATGTTACTTATTTAGATTTTGATTTGCTGTAATAACGTTAATTTTAACATTGGAGTTTGATAAAAAAAGTTTTTGAACAGTTTAGTGATTGCACTGATAGTGCGATATATACGTATAGGTATACCGAAGATTTCTTGATTCAGGGAACTCCTAAAGCTCGAGCTTTATCAACACATTAGATTCGCCACTGCTTGGGAAGCGGCAAAAGATCGAGCGAAAGCTCGCCGAAAATTTCAGTAAAAAATTCAGCACAAGAAACAGATGCGTTTCTCGAACACCGAATTTCCATTTGAACTTCCGACGCGTTTCCGATCGAAGGCTAAGTTACGCTCCGAAAAGTTTAGCACTCAAATTATTAGAGATATATTCTTGAGAAGGTGTCACGTGCTGTGGCACTGTTACGCTCTTGCCGTCATATCTGGCGAGTTTGTTTGCGATCTAGTTAGAAAAAGGATCACATACTCTGACAAGGATGGAAAAAACTGATGTTTCACCCAATATAAAAAACATTTTAGAAAGTTGATTTATTTTTTAAAAACATTTTAGAGAGTTTATCTATTTCTTTTAATAATAATTTTTGTTTTGGAGCCCCAAATAAAGAAAAGTGCAAAAGTTATATCTATAAAAAAATATATTTGCATTTGTCAGAGTATCTGAGGTTATTGGAAAAAAATATTAGAGATTTTATTACGAGGTACATTGTAACCATTCCTGTAAAGGTAGCTGAAAATGGGTTAATTGAAGTCGGTTATTATTACGTGGTCATGTTGTTGGATGGATTTATTATAAGGATCGCGCTGTGTATTGTTAGGTCGAAGTGCAACATGCTTTTCGATAAAGAAAAGCGAAGAAAAGATCTGAAGAAAGCCGCAAAAATAAAGTTTATGATAAAGACTAGGCAAAAAAAAGGAAAAAGAAAAAAAAAACAAAGAAAAAGTCATAAGTTGCGTTGTCAGAACCTAAAGAGATCATATCGCCGTAATTTCGGTGAAGTATTTAATAAGCATTAATAGCAGTAAAATTGAAGTATAAGAATAATATTGAATAGTAAAGACGTTTAAGGAAACCAACGAAAGAAATTCCTTTACTTTTAATTTTGCTTCCCCCCGTAGAATGTTTCTAATTTTATGATAGTATATCGTTATCATTGTCGCAATTATGACGATTCGATCTCCTGTAATGAGACTGAAATCAGGTGGTACAAAGCAAAACGAAAAAGCTGAAAGGAAACTAAGGTCGAACCTGTGCGAAGAATTGTGTAGTGTTCTCGGCGTGTGCGTGCGTGCGTGCGTGCGCGTGAAACGTTTTGCACGACGGAAATGTCACGTGCCACGTGCTACGGCACGACGTGTTACACGAGAGAGCCCGTTCTATTATCTCGGTAGCGTCGCGTGTCTTAAGTGCTGCATCTGTGCGTGGTGGTGCAGCTGCAGCTGCAGGAGCTGCAGATTCTGCAGGCAGTACGGCGGCTGCTGTTGCGTTCCAGGCGTCGCAAACGGCAGGGCGGACGGATGTACGAAGGAGGCGGAATTCCGGGGCGAAGCCGCAGAATTCGCGGTCGGATGCGGCAGGGTACCGTAATTGAAGGGGCATAGGTTTAAGGCGAGAGGCGGTTTCAGGATATTGTGAAACTGTGCGGACGTAAGCGGATGGGGTTGCACGTAGGGGCTCGTGGAGGGCAATAATTGTGGGCTAATCGGGTATAAACAATCCTCTTCGGCCTGGCCAGGCACCGTTGTTGGGCTGAGCTCCATGTATTGCGGCATCATGAGAGTGTGCTAGGCGGTGGAATAAGAACGGAAGGAAATAGATGTACGCTGAACGTCAGAATTGCCTTGTACTTCCAATTCAAGGTTTTTGTGTCGAATTCAGCTTTAAACCAATAGTTATTATACGCAAATATTTAGACTCGATACGTTTGACCTGAAAATGTATAACCGGAAGTGTAAGGCACTAATGACGCCGTATATGCACTCGAGATTTTTTTTTTCACCTGAAACGTGATTCTGCAACTTCGATTCTGCGCGAATATATTTATAAATCGTGAATATATTCTCGCAATTTGAAAGGCAAAATTCGCGATACTGATATCGTTAAAATAAAAATATGCAATGAAATAAATAAACATTTTGATGTAACAAATACTCGCGCAGGGTCGATATAGAGAGAATTCCACAATCTCTCAACTTATTGACGTAGTATAATTTGTCGTAAATAATTTTTGGTATAATTTCTTTTCTTTTTATCATTATATGACTCTGAAAGGCTAATGTTACTTGTAAGTATAAAATTTGCTATATTCGTTGACGTTTTGTAGAAATATATGATCACAATATTCAAGTATCAATAATGAAAATATTCTTAAATTGTTCGAATTCATCCAATACAGGCAGTCTCAGTTGCCTAAAGAAAATTTTTGCAGATGCACGTCTTTATCCGTTTGAGAAATAGATCGATCAAGCACATCGAATGTTTTCGCGGCTCACCTTTGTGGCGCAGACGAAGCACGTTGTGACCACTTTCGAGATCACATTCATGAGATTTTTTGTTTCTTGTATGACGTTGTCGACTTTTGTGAAAGTTGCGGCCTTGCCGACGGTGGGGTTCTTCACGGTGAATTGTAGTTGCTGAACATAAGTCGGCACTCGGTCCAGATTTTCCAAGAGTTCTTTCTTGTGCGGCCCACCCGGTACCTACGCCCATATAACATCGTATACAAACTCACGTCTTTGTTTTAAGTCGGAAGGCAAACTTGTTTGCTTTTAATTCTCAACGATTCAAAAATAGCAATTGCCAAACGATGCATATAAATAATTAATATAATTATAGAAAAGCATAGAAAAGCGTAAAACAGCTCAAAATAATATTTGAAAATAAAATGAGTAAATATTCTGATTTATTTTATTTATTGTAGGTATTATATCTTTAAAAATATTTTTTAGTAATATTATTTCTGTATTAAAATATGTATATATATATATAATATAAATTAATCGAAATTATATTAATAATTAGTGTAATATATTCGCTTTTATATTTTGATGCTTGTAATGTCGTTACAAAATAAATAATATTGAACGACTTAACAATCGTTGAAATTTTCCAAACATGTTTGCCTTGCGATATCACTACTGTTCATATTTAGCGCATTTCTTAAAGACTCTGTAAAGCAATGCCTCATTCTATTGTTTGCAATTCATTGTATGACTAATTATAAATACTTAGTAATGCATATATCGTAGATACTTGGAAGAGTTTACATCTAAGAAGTTACGATTGTCTATCTGTCCTAGTAGAACACAATGCAAGACTTTCGACAGAACGTAAAAAGTTGCTCGAGACAGATATCAGAGTGATTGTGTGAAGTGGCAGTGAAATAGTACAGACCTTGTTATTTTTGCTATCTTCCTCCACATATGAATTCTGTTTTTACGGAACATATTATATTATAACAATATTAGATTTAATTAGTTTTGAGAAAAAATTCGAATAGATTTTCTCTTTTTTTTGGTAATATCAAATATTTCAGTAAAATGTGTGCTCTGGCAAAATACATTAGAATTTACTCATACGTATTTATTAGCAAATATTATTTTTTTTAAACAACATGATGTTGGAAGCTAGCAAAAACTTTGAGACATAATACTCATGCCCCAGATAGTGGAAGGAGAGGGACCACAATGCACATAGACGTCGTCCATAGACGGAAGCATTCCCGTAGCATCTAAAACACACCTTACTAATCGTACACAAAACGTCGTCAATGTATATACATAAAATAGATTTGCTAACAAAAATCATGACACGTTTATTTTGACAGTTCAGATGATGTGATATGGAAAATTAATTTCTGAAACAATTATTGTGCGATCATACACTGAGAGTTAAAGTACGTAAAATATTACACGCATATTACATTCAACACGCGTTTCAAATTTGCATTTGTACGTGATTCTCGTGCAATTATAACGAATCGTCACAGCAGTTTTGAATGATAAATTATGGCCCTTTCTCTCAATTGTTAATTATTACAATACATTGTCCATTGTTATTTTCAACATCTTTCTCTTGTTTTTTGAATAAAAATCGATCTTCTATGCTATTTGTTTAATAATTGGAAGAGTCTACGTGCGTGATGTTGCATAACAATAAATGTACGTACGTATACAAAGATCATATTTACAAATATAATGATAACACTGAACAATAGTGGGGTAGTGATGACGCAGAGAAAAAGAGATAAAAAGGGAGAGGGAAAGAGGTGTGAAAGAGGAGCTGAGGCAAAGAGAGCGCGAAGGGATGGGAAATAAGGAAAACAGACAGAGAGGTTGAGTGAGTAAGGAGGAGGAAGGTGCACTATATATACGGCAACAAGAATGATTTGTATGTAGGCGAAAGTGATATCTATTAGTCCAGAAGGGTCTAAAGTAAAGAGAGAAAAAGTTACCTGGATGGAGGCATTCAAGAGCGAGGGTATAGAAAAAAGGGTTGTATAATACAGAATATATTACAAGGTTAGCGTTTTGTTGTTTCTTTTAAGAAGAATATAGAGAAAGAGAGAGAAAGTGAGAGAGAGAGAGAGAGAGAGATATCAAAATGGCTTCGGGTGACTATATATATTTGGCCTAGCTAGGAGGGGTTTCGAAAGAGGGCAGCAAACGTGTTAATTCGAACATGTCTAATGCTAATAACGCGCGTCGAAGCTACTTCTGGCCTGGAAGCAACATCTACAAAGTAGTAGCACTTTTGGCGCTTTTCATTTTTTCCCGAAACATATTAATTCTTTAATTTTTGCAATTTGTTGAAGAAGTTACAAATTGTTTCACATCAACCACATTACTGCGTTAATAACAGATTTGAAGACGTTTGATATAAAGATATTTTGATATAAAAATTTTTGTCGCCAAATGACTTCAAAAATCTGCTATTGACGGGTAATACGATTGATGTGGGACAATCTGTATATTTATTTTGCCTTTGTGCCTCTTAAAGAGTTTAGAAATTTAAGTCTTAATATGTCGTTTCACCGAAATCAAGTAGTATTGACATAAGATTATGTCGACGTATATCCATTGTCAACGTATATTGCTATATAAATGATATAAAAACATTGATATATTTCTACATACAATGAGATTTCTGTTACTGAATGTCGAAATATCGAAATAGCAATAATTACTTAGTATCTATCGAGAAATATTCAAGAATTCGTTAAGTTGCATTAGTTGAATAAAACTTTCGTTGCACACCGGATGCAGCTTCGACGTTGCGACTTACGAAGAAATGAAACTCAATAGCGTAATGTATAAGTAAAAAGGATTCCCAATATAGCGAGGATCAAGAAACTCGGAATCAAGTCCAATATAGAGTCCGTATAATAAACAATATGATAAAAAGAATGATCATAGAAAAGTAAGAGTGATGTATATAATATATCAACATCAGTCCAATTAAAAAATAGTGTGTCATCTCTCTTTCGTTCTACGGTTCGGCAGGTCAGCCGATCTGGCACGTACCTGGTAACTGAATTGTCTCACAACCTTGTACAATCTGTTCGCCTCCTCGGCGAAATACTCAGCTTGGGTGAATAGGTCCTGGGTGGTCTTCAGGGCGCCCTCGCCCCGCGTGAACTGGTACATCGAGAACGCCATAGACGACATGTTCTTTGCACGCTTCACAATGTCGTTGTTCTCCTCCAGCGCACTGCCGCTCTCCTGCCATTTCTCCGTCTCGGCGTCCATCTCCGACGTAATCAGTTTCATCTCGAGACCCGCCTTAGCGATCTTTGCTTGCTCCTCGCTGTCCAATCGTACCGGTTTCAGCGGCTTACTTGTCGTGCCGTGTTTCTGAAATAAGTCATACGATTATTATTTGTCCTGTTTCACAATGTCAAATTGTGCTTGTAGACATGATTGTGCGTTTGACTGAAGTATTCTATTTTCTTGTGAAAAATTCAGTTTAGTATATTTGTAGTATTTTTTGACAAATGTGGTTGATTTTTTCTCAATGAAAATATCAAAGTTATAAAAAATTGTGGAAAAAGAAAAGAGTTTTGTGAAATGAGTTGAAAAGTTTTGTGAAAAGAGTTTTGTAAAACTTTAGAAGGATAACAAATATGCTTTCTGTCAATTTTAAATGCATTTTAATTAAATATTTTTTAGTTACAATGATATATGATATGAAAATTGAGCGCGATAAATAATGATTTTCTTTGACATTTTCATTGATTTGAAATTGATCAGAGAATCTGTCATTAGAAGAATATTTGTTCGTTTTGGGACACTCTATATGCAAAATGCATTGATTGTTTGTCGAAGTTTAGTAAATATTTAGAAAGAATTTAAAGAAGTAAATATATTTACGTACTCCTGGCCGCGGCAAGGACATGTAAACTTGCTTCTCCGGCCGATTTTGACTGAGTTCCAGAACATCTTTCGCCACTGTCGTTACGTCGCTTATGAGCCACTGCCACATGTCAGTGAATACTGCAAAATGTGTAGAAACATTGAAGGAATTATAATGATAGATCATCATCATAATTTTCACATAAGATGTTAATAGCATCTAAATTATTCACCTTCAAGATTTTCCTTGGCTATCTTACTGTTGGGATACCTAGCTAGTGTATGCGCAGCCGTTACGACTTGAGGACCGTATATTTTTAAGTTGATCTCCATGAACTTGGCCGATACTTGCAACGATTCCGAAAGTGCAATGTGTCGCAGAAGTTTGCATACCTGTAGAAGGAAAAATAGTAAGCAAAAGCCAAAAGAATATATACGACGTTTAAGATCGAAAGAGATTTCTCTTGCAAAAGTAAGTTAAATAGATGAAGTAAATTTTTTTCATTCAAGGCTTTTTTTATCTAAAAACAAATTTAATAAAAAGTTGTTTGAGATTATTCAAACTTAAATAGATGAATATTATTGTGTATTTTTTTTTAATTTTTAGAATGGATTACTCGAAAAGTTTTGCACAGAAAATTTTTATTTTGTAACTTTAATTGTTTTTGCATGAGAAATCATTATTTTACTTTTCTTATACAAAGATTTATAATACTGATAGAAAAGTAAAGTATACACATCGTATCATAAAGTGATTTCAAAGTCACAAACAGTATCCTTAATATTGCACATGAGTAATGAGACAGAATGAGTTAATTTTTCATATAAAATTAGGTGTGGAATAAATTCAATTAAGCGCCGTAACTGATTACGATGCTTGGAATGATAAATGACTCAATTATCGCGTAGTATGTTTAGTAAATCAATACTTTATAATCACTCGATGAAAAATTGAGATTAGTGTTCATTTTTGTCGTGAGAAGAATTTTGTAATAAATTTATGACTTTTTTCGGAAAGACTCAGTTATTCGTGTGAATTTACAGCACGCGACACACACACACACACATGTACAAACGCAGTATGCGAACGCCACGCATAATGTACGAGAAGCTTACTTCGAGAATGTGGTCGATATACTCCTGGAACCTGTCGCTGCTATCCTGCAGACGGTCGATGTCATTGGCCAACGCGAGATTTCTGATAGTTGACACGAGTTCCTGGCCGGCTTTTGTCACTTGGCCAAGATCGCCAGCCTGCTCCATCGTCGTCGCGCTGAGCTGCTGACGAAGATCTCTGGTCGCTCGTAACACACCCATCACCGCTTGTTCCATTTCCGAGCTGGGTGAACCCCCGCCGCCCTCGTAATTCTGCCGGCACACGGTGTCCATCGTTTCATACCTCGTCATCGTTTTACTTATTTAGAAATACTTTCCATTCGAATTGGTTTTACTCAAGTATTTCATCGTACTTCAATGAATAGAATTTATCTCGCAACTTAATTGTTAATTTTTCAAGTAGTATGTTTTTAAAAATTATGAAAGGATAAATCAAAAAGTAAAGGAACGTTTAAAGAATCAGTGGTGTCTAGAAGGTTACTTCGTTGTTATATTTTTTATTTACGACATTACTTTCTTAAATCGTATTTAAATTTAATGTTATATATATGCAATGTTATTAGCGATATTTTACAACTTGTGTTTTCTTGTGAAATCAAATAAAAGATTCACTCACCATACTATTACCGATCCGCAAAAGTGTGTTGAGCTCGAGTTTCGCGCGATCACAGAGCAGAAGAATGTTCTCTCTGTGCTCGTGGCTCGTATAGGCGCTATCGGTGAAGTCTTGCGTTCTCTCGACCACCGTCTCGATCGCCGATGTAAGTGTCTCCCGGCAACCCGGTCCCAGCAGGGTCATCCTCGTTGTTTCAACGAGCCTTTCGAAATGTTTCAATGCCGAGCAAACGGTACTACTGTCCCAGTCTTCCTGCTGTGGACTCTGCAAGCAACGGCGCGTCATGTGATAGTAAAAAAAATATTTTTCGAGATGTACAGTTTCTTCTATTTTTCGCGAAAGAATTTTTTTCTAAATTAATTGAAGCTTTAAATTCTCTTAAAATAATTATGCATATGTCTCGCAATCTTAATCTCTAATTAATTTGAAATCGATTTTTTTTTAAATGTTCAAGATCATCGCTTAATTTTTGAATTTTCAAATGTCATATAGTTTAGTAAATTAAAATTCTATTAAGATCATCATATTATTTATGAGTGAAACAAATATAAAAAATTTATAATATTAGAACATGTTAATGATACGTGAATATTAGACATAGCAAGTACGTAAAACACATTAAATCTTTTAGAGAAACTTTTGTCACGCTTCGGAAGCGTAGCGCACTTTGGTCGGCTATCTACAATCACTCCACAATCAATTATATTGCACGGGTGGTACTTAAGTGTGAAACACAAGGATGATTATACATTTTTCTAGCACAGTTAAAGGTCGTTCATCGTGACCCCACTCTCTTACGTTGCTTCTTCAGGTCGAGAGGTTTTCGGAAACGCAGTGTGGCACGTAGAATATTCTCTCTCGTTTATTCAACGCCGAAAGAAATCTGGCACGGAGTTAAAGTGGCCGTGCGTCGAAGCACCGATATGTAAATGCGCGAGCGTGCAATTTGGCATGGCGTAGATAACCATCTGCGATGTTTTACGACGGCCGTTTCGGCACCGCTTATGGCACGATAATCTCATTTCGACTGTCGATAAAAACCTCTCGTATTTGCTTCTGGATAACTTTTAGACGAGTTTTTGTGAACTATTTTTGTTTGCTAAGAGCAATATCGCAATTTATTCAAGTTTCTAATTTTTAACGTATATTTAGTTCTGAAGAGAGAACTTATGTCTCGGATGAGTTTTAAAATTTATATTTTACGGCTCTTTTCACATAAAGCTACTTTGAATGATATCAACTTCGCTATAAAGTAGTCCATTTTAATTTTACGCTGAACGAGCAAAATTCGCAGTTTCATTTATCGTCGGTTTCACTACTTTCCATCGCGTATTTCGCTTCCAACTTCTCTTCACATCTTTTTTTTTCATCATCTAGCATCGCTAATCTTTCATCTGCTATCGTCTTTTCTACCCAGTCCCTGCAATATATTTTGTCGAGAATACTTCTGATTTTTGATGCCAGCAGCATTTCGTAAAAAAATAATACCAATGAGAAAAATACATTATAATGCACTGTAGATATGGATAATGAACACTTTTTGTGGTCGGATTCGAATTTAGAATACAAAAAAATATGGAAAACTCTTCTTTCCAAATAAAAAAAAACAAAACAAATATGTAATTTTAACAGGTTGGTGCAACCATTTGTGCACACATTGTGATTACAATTGATATATATTTGTAGGGCATGTTTCTCTGAATCTTCTCTAATATCATCGACCGTCGTTTATCGATTTTATGCCAGGTCAGACATCGCGCCATTATTTATGGTTTCTCGAGTCGCGGTGGTATACGGGATTGCTTCGATATCTCGTTTACAACTTTAGCAAGGGCACCGGAGCGCGCACCCAAGGTCGTTCAAATCGCACATTAAGGGAGTACATTCGTAAATCACAATTTCGCGGACAAATGCTCCTTGGAACACTTCCAAAACTTTTCGGAAACATTTTATTGTACAGAGCTTTTTCTCCCGGATCTTAACAATATGAACATATGCGTGCTCGATGCATCGGAATAATGAGGGATGGTATAATATAAATGCTTGAAAGCCAACAGCGCGCGCATTCAGCAACCGCGATTATAGCATATGTATCTTGGCAAGCTTCAACGCGAGAATATTCACGGGGATGATTATTCTCTCGTTATCATCGTATTAATTTTTAAACTGCTCGCGTTATTAATAACATCGAAAATAAATTAATATAAAAAAATTAATAGTCGTCAGAAGATATTATATCTTGTAACTTCGCAACTTAATTACTTTTCTACTAAATTTTACGAAATTAATTTTATAAATCGTTAATCTAATGCAGGGTTCAATGATGGATTTAGGATGAATTATTTACCTGCGAATTTGAATAGGATTGAGATTCGCTGCATTCCAACACGCCGTCCTTGACGACATAATGTATCAGATCCATTGCTCTTCTCATTTGGCAAAAAACGGTGTCGCGGTTTTCCTTCGCGGATGGACATTCAGGATGCCTCAAGCACGTCTTGCTGGACGTGAGCAACATCATGGTGCTCCTCTCTAGCACTTGACGAGCCGCTGCCATTTGTGCGCGACGCCTTTCGTCTTTGAGATCATTCTGAAAATAAGACGGCGATGTTCAGATTCTCAATTGTATCTTAGCGGCTAATTGGACAATTGTCAACTATCGATCTGCGAGAAATCATATCTTACCTGACGATCACCCGTTAAATGCGCCAATTCGACCATCTCCCCGCCGAATTGGCTGAACGCCTTAACGAATTCGGTAAAATTCGAGACGCTCTCGAGTCGGCCGAGGCTGCGGGCGACCTTATCTTTAGCGAGGAGTAGTTGATTGACCACGACGATGTCCGCCAGGAGGAGGACTTTCGTCACTGAACCTAGGAGACATCTGGCAGCTCTCACGACGGAGCCTCGGTCAGCCAGGCTGTCCTCCAAGGCACATTCACATAATTTCTCGATCGCTGAGCCTAGTACAAAGTCAATGGTTGAACTACATTTGCTAACAATCATGGTGTCTTATAACTCGTGACAATGTTAATATAATAATGTTAATAACAGATTCACTGATAAATATTTGATTTTTCCTTAACAAAAATATCGAGATATTGACAATTTACAAGTGGTACACACGAGTTACAAGCGATTGAAAAAAAATGCTTTTTGAGAACTCTATTTCGGGCTCTTAAATAAACAGAATTATACTATATTTTTTACGTGAATTTTACGTAAGCAGAGAAAATTTAAGCTTCAAACACATAGCTTGGCTATAAAGTGTATGATTAAAATTAGACAGTTATGATAACTGATAATACCTTTCTCGATACTTTTGTGATGAAAAAAATCGATTTTAAACCGGTCAAATATTAAGATCATTAAAATGGAAATGATAAATCGCGGAGCATCATACACCTGAAAAAGTATTAAATAGAAAACTGTAAAGTTTTAATTGTTAATCCACTAAATTCGATGGCAAGAGTTGATTCTCAAAAGAGAGATTGATCGAATGAATTTTCGAGCGAGCGTGGGACGATGCTGATGAATTAAACATCTTTCGTCTTTTTTATCGTGTGTCACCGTAAAATCGGAGTAACTGATTTAATTATGACTGAGCCTCTCAACTTAAGTACAACGACCACGAGTAATTGGGTGCTTTTGAGCGCTCGTAATTAGCTATTCCACTCGTCCGCTGCCTTATCTAAATACTATATGATATTGAATTATCTAAATACATTCAGAAATTATGCACGTAGGAAAGCTTGAGTGGCGAATGTGCACGCCTCGCGTATCAGTGTGTTCAAATGATACATATTAAGTAGTTAATTTTTATTCTTTTTTCATTCAAACTTTATTCCAACTGCATTCTTTAATTTTTTAACACTTAAACAGTCACGCATGGTTTATTGTTAAAATAATTTGATATAAAGAAATTAATAAGATTTCTTAGAACGCGATTATTATGACATTTCTTAGAAAGAAATTAGTAAGAATAATTCATTAATTGATATTTAATTTATAGATAATGGTACAAAAGTTGCCCTTTTATAATAATATGTCTACTCATTATGTAAAAATTGATGTAGAAATCGACATTAGAGAGCATCTCTTTTTTCCAAGACGCACTTGTGGATAGCGTTTTCTAATAATATCGCCATCGATCGGAAACACCTGAAGTGTGAAATGTGAGAGCTGCTGTACCATTAAATAATTATTTCCTGAATTAGACAGCTGTAATTAGCGTGAAACACAATTGCCAGCTGCTGCTATTTACTGATTGTCCATCGCTATTAGGCGTTTATGATATCCTATGCGTAATCTGCCAGCGGGAGAATCGATGAGAGAACAATAGATTATCATCAATGACATGTGTTCCTTTTACATCGTGCAATTATGAGAAAATGTTGGTTAGGCGCTCATTAGGATAGATGAAACTCGTCTTTGTCTATGAATCCCCTCTGGTGACAGCGTTCCATCGTTCATGTCGCACACTTCCATTAATCTTTAGAAACCGGGAAGCCAATCTTTCGGCTTTAGTTGCAGCTTCCTTCCGGAATATCTTCTTTGGTGTATGTTATTTAAAAGTTTTAAACCAAAAACTGAAAAAAAGTTATTAAAAAATTTTGTTCTTTAAAAATTAAATTTTATTCGTTAATTTGCATCCACGAATAGTTTCTTCATGAACGCCGTGCTTGTGAACTTTTCTCATAGGCTATTACAAATTATCCTTCGGTCGTGTCCTGGCGGAGTTTGTTTTCACACTGTTCTACTTGGTTGATACTTTTCTCATTAGTTAACGAGAAAAGCACTCCTCTACTCTCGTCTGTTCCAACAAAGCCCACGTTGCAATCTTTAAAATTATACATCGCATACCCCGCGCGCAACTTAAATATTTACTGCAATCTATCGTGAGATCTAATGAGAATCAAATCATTAATAATAAGATTAAAAATATTGTAGTGTGTCCTTCTTTACGTGCCGCGTACTATATTATTGATTTTATTATAATATTAATGTGCTTAATATTATTCTTTCAAAGGGTGAAACTTGATGAAGAAACTTTTCGTGAACACTATATTTTTCTATCGAACCGATTAGAGATAGCATAGCGATGCCGGCGTTATAAGATCAGCCGGCTTAATAAGGAATCCTTATAACGTTTTATATAGATTAACTGTTACATGTAAGTATACTGAGATCTTGACCTAATTTAAAAGCGATTGCAGTGCACGGATTCCATACGATTTCACACTCGATAATCTACACGTTCGATTATTATCCTGGTAATCGATCGATTTTTCAAAAGTCAAAATATCGGGAGCTTTTTTAACTTTAAAGCAGCGTTAAAATTGCTATTTTATGAAGCGTCAAATGGGTGCAAACTATCCTTGAAAGCATCAAAGTAGCGTCACAAATTCAACTCGAGTTGAATAAAGAGAAGTCGATTAACGAAAGTCGTGCAACATACGAATTATTTCGCCAATAGGAAAGTTAGGATTAGTTCTGCGACTGTGACTTTGGTGTTTAGTGGGATGTTCTTAAGCGCGCGCAGCGGAGAATATCGAAGCACACGAGACTTGCCCTGATATTGGTATTCCGGGTGCATCCGGTGGATTGCAATTGGAGAGATTGCTGGGATGCGACGCGCAGAAGCGTGTCCCCTGGAGTGCGCTTTCCATGATTCACAGATGCAAAATGCATCAAGCTAGGACATAAGTATGTCAAACGAGAGATTGACGCTTGCGTTTTTTATTTCTTGCTCGCGAGTGAGAAGAGAGTTCATTTTCCGCTCTGCGCCTGTTATTCATCGACATTTACATGCTATTACGAAATTCTACGCGTTTATCCGCCTTTAGAAGAGAAAACAATATTGTTATGAAATACGTTTTACGTTGATCGAATCGTAATTTTCAAAGATACGTATCAATCGCTTAATCGCTACCATCGTAACTTTCCACTGGCATGCGATAATGTTGAAAGAACAATTATGCGTAGCTCGCGTGATTAGGAGTGTTTTAATCGTAAACGAGTAATTTCCGTAGACGGTAGTACGGTGTACTCGTATTGGTATAACGATATCGTGAATTGTTCCTGGAATTTTGCTGTATTTTACGAAATTGTAGTCATTTGTACTGCACATACACTCATTTATCAACTGGTATTTTAGCATCCTCTGAGATTCTTCCTTATTTTGACCATCCTGTAGTGATTAATCGGATGGGAAATGCCGATTCAGAAGATAATTAATTATTGTCCCTTTAAACGCTTTTGTTGTTTAAAAAATTAGTGAGAAGTTTATACGAATCTATTATACAAAATTAATTAATTTAATTAAAGACTAGTTAAAATTAATTTCAATAACAATGACTAATTTGAACAATTTTTTAAATAAATTTTTTCTAGTAAAATATCGATGGAAATTAACGGTTATCGCAATTTGTCAATTTTTTACATTATACGTTTGTATAGCAAAGCTTTAAATTAATTTAATTAATTAAAGGTTAATGAAAATTAATTTTAATAACAATGACTAATTTGAACAATATTATTTATTATATAATATTATTAGCAAAACTTTACATTTTATTAAATTCTACTTTATTTTACACAATATTACGAAACAAGCAATAAAATGCAATTTACATCGGTAATTGTGATGTACTGATTAATTATCTTTAACATCACCGATGCACAAAGCTCCATCCTTGCGTCACTCTGTTGAGAGATCGTTGCACTCTCGTCCAATGTAGATTTACGGATGTGCTTGCGGGGAAAGTGGTTTTGTGTTCATCAATGGATAGATACCATCAAATTGCGGCAGAGTAAACAGCGTAACAATTTGCAAACGATCAGTGTGATTAATAAATTATCAATTTGATTCGTTAGCGGAACAATTATTCGTGTTTACCATATCAGCCCATGTTATTAAATAGATAATATTTGAGTTACGCGTTTATGCATCTTTCTTTATATAGATAATCTTTATTCATACGACTTTTTGCACACACGCTTGCACATTATATCTAATTCAATTTGTTATAATACTTCTTTCACCAGTTTTTATGACGGTCCAAATGCGTCTTTTTATCGTTCAGACTACTAAAGAGCGTCCGTCAAGCAAATTTATTTTCCCACGTTTTTCCCAAGTGACATGCCATAATAAAGGTCGTTTTCTTGTGCTAGCTCAGGTCTGCGAAGTAGAAATCTCTTTCGTTATCCGACTATTAGTCGGAATAAAAATGAATTTATCAACCTTATGTCGTCAAGATGTTGATTTATTGGCAATTACACGAAACTTATATAGATATGCCATTAATATTGAGATAGAGTAATTTGATTTTAAAAGTACTAACAATTGCGATGCTTATCTGATCTATCAGTCAAAAATATTAAAAGCTTAATCGCGATGTAAAATAAGGAAGCGGTCATACATACACACCTCACAATTCTATGAAATATTCTATTAATTTTGTGTTATACGTAAAGAAAAAAAGTTTGCTAACGCAGCGCATTTTATGTCATTGGGACAAATGCTATTAATTATACAGCGACTGAATTTACGAGTGCTGTCTTTATTTGCTGCAAAATTATTTTGCAATAATAACAAATTGCTTCACTGCAATGTGAAGTGAAAATGCTATGAATAGACAGCAGGATAGACGGCAGAATGCCATTTCTCTTTAGTAACTGATTAAATTTGTGTTAACAGTAAATTTTTGTTTTCATGAAACAAATTTACTCGGCAGGATTTTTCAATAAAACCAGTTCCGCCGTAATATCGAATAATTGGTTACGGTAGCAAAGTTTGATCGCTTTCATATATGCAATAGTAGCAATTTTGCTATAACAAAATATTTTTTTCCTTTTATGCAGAAGTTTTAATAAATCCATTAATTTTTACTAAAATATTACAAATACTTCAGTTTTACTGAAATTATAATTATTCACATCGATCATAAAGTTGATTAAACTTTCTTTTTACAAAAGAATCGAAGAAATCTGAGCAGCTCGTATACACATGAGAAGTAAAAATGTTTTGTATGTAGACTAGATCTAATTTTAAAAAGTGATTAGAATAAAACTAATTCGTATCGAATGTGCAGATAACACATAAAGCACGAAAATGATTATTGTTTGACGCTAATGGGTTGTAGTTGAGAGTGAGTTAAATTGGTATTGCGAAATTCGCGATGTGTTTCGATATTAGCCGGTATTTTATCTCGTTTCATCAAAAGCGCCCGGTGATTTCCTTCGATTTCGCCGGCGCTCGATATTTCAATTCTCGGACAATTTATTTTCGCCTCGCGCTACGATATTCCCAGCCGCTATTTGCATGCAATCGTTCTATTGCCAATTATTCCGAATTCGATCTTCGTTCGTGCGTTTATATCTTGTACATTCATCGTGATTTCGATTGATTACGGGCGACCGTTTGTTTCGTCGCGCAGAAGCATGTAGGGTTTTATGATTAAAGCAATCAAATTTATATTTGGAATTTATATTTATAATGTTAGCAAATAGAGAGTTAATTAAATGTCCTTTCTGCAAAAGAATGTGTTTTTCTTCGATTTTTTCGATCACTTGACACACACAATCTTGGTATAGTGATTCATTTTGAAATATTTTTGCTTCAATATATTAGACGGTAGTAATTTAAATTTGTTCGTTCTTTACAAAAAGACACTTTAGAAATTAATTTTTATTTCCTAACGTTAAATATACAATATACGTAGTTTTATTGTTGTTTTAACACCGAACTCCACTCAAGTACTGGTTCATAAAATATCACAGAAAGATGAGCAACTCTACGTATTCTCAGCGTGATGTTAAACGCTACATATTAACTAGTACCAGGAAGCGCAAGCGTGCAATTCTTCTAGTAATTATCACTCGGCTCAAAACACAGGCGGTTGCTACTAACCGCACTGTGTGCGCATCAATCACCACGCTTCAAGTGCGCCAAGTGACTGAAAGTCCGCGTGTGTTTGTCACTAGATAAGCGCAAGACTATTCCTTTCCGCATTGCTTTATCCTCCCCATACGTACACTGTTTCCTTCTGGTATATAAATTTGGCATGTCGCCATGTATCTTTTACAGCGGTTGCTTTTCGTTATAGCGATGCGCTCGCTTTTCTTCATCCAGCGTCATCTCGGTGCGTGAGTTGAAGTTCCCCGAAGCATCGAAAATAGCGTTATCTCGAGAAAGAGAGAGCGCAACCGAGCGTTCAAGCATTCCGCGCAGTGCCACGTTTTCTTTTGCTTGATCTCGATTTGCATGCTGCAACTTGTCATGTGCGAGTTTCAAAATCATACTCATACTGAACTCAACCGAAAAAGATGTCATGTCTCGCGCAAAAATAAGTTATAACTGCGGAATCAAATTTAATCGCACAAAATTTTGTTTGAGAAAAAAATTGAAAAATAACAAGATGTCTGTTGTCAATTAAATTTAAATCTCTCATAAAATTTCTGAAGTCTTGTGTTATAAATTATTTTCGACAGCGACCGTTTTTTCAACTCGATTTAACAAATCAATTGAAAATAATTTAAGTTACTATTTTATAACAAAAAAGTTATGCATAATGTGTTAAGATTTATTTTTATTTCTTTAATAGTAATTCTAGCAATAATTTATTGTTTTTTTTTTTTAAATTATATATGACTTCTACTACAATTTTTTGCTCCTAATCTTAACTTAATATTTTGCATGTAAAGTCTCGTATAAAAACATTTTATTTTGCATTTCTAACTTATTTTTGCATGAAGAATTTTTGGTTGTAACGCGATTTCGGATACATTATGTATTGTTGTTGGATATATGTAGCATGTCTTCAATCTTGATTCCTTTTTTTCTACTTGAAAAAGTAATAGTTTTCATGGTAATAGTTTAACTTAATCTAAATTTAAAGTTAATGTATACGCGATCGATGATTTGTATGCGAAAACAACCGGCAATTTGTACAAATTCGTCGCGTACTACGTCATGATGAATCCCGCCAGCAAGATAGCGTTCGTGGCTCTACGGTTAGTTACACTTACGGCGCTCGATTTACACGCGATATCACGCAAAGTCATTTGTTCGAACCAGCGGGTAGTAGGCTCGCATGACTTCGTGCAATCGTCGTAATATCGGTGCCCTTTCGACGTCATTTTATTATGCCGAATTGATACGTCTCTCGTGCTTCGATAAGTAATTCGACGTGGGTTCGCAATCGAATCTTTATCGTCGAGAATCTTTTATTGATCTTTTGCAAAACACATCACTTTTAATTGCATAGGAATCTGTGTGACCTCACTTATTGTGACGCGAAAGCTCGGTTTATGATTTATACATATCGTTGTTTTTTCTTAAAGCGCAAAATCGATTACAGCGAAGGGAATAACAGTTTCTTAAGTGGATAAACGCCACGAATAATTTTATACGAACATTTGAAGCAACTAAAAATAAATTTCAATTTTTACTAGTTTCACTATTAGTTTCACTATTAGTTGTTTTTTTTTAATGTTTTTAATTTTTAAATTTAATTCAATTTTTAAATTTATCAAGTTTTTAAAAAATCTTATTAATTGAGTCTACATTTTACTTTGACATCTTTCTTCGAAATCTTCAATTTTGCGACGCGGAACATTTCACGTTAAAGACCACTGGGACTGTCTTTTCTCTCCGCAGTGCAATTCTTCCAAGAGCGAACAGGTGTGCTGGAAAGAAATATTCGCGGTCTTTACTGCGGACGTTATTTGCCCGCTATTTGGCAAGGATACGCAGGGGATTTTTCTATGTATGCAAGTGACGAAAAACCTTTCAAGGTTCGGCGAAACTAGGTCATTGCACTGCGCTGCTTCTACATCGCAGTAGCAGCAGCAGTGGCAGCAATGAAATTCGTCGTTCTGTAATGTGCAGCCTAGCGTGAAGACACAGGGAGATATAATCTGCCGAGGTCGGGATGTGATAAGACTTCTGAGAGTGACGTTCAAAGGTTACGAAGCTTTAGTTCTCGTGTGTGTGGAGTCTGCTTCCGGCTTGCGTGTTCTCGGAGATTATCCGCACAAGGTTGTGAAGTTCGATCGAAGAGAAGAGATGCAATTTATATCTCGTCGGTATTTAATGCTTTTCATTGTATTCAATGTCAATATTGAATATACATTTACATGCTTATACATACATATGATGCATATTAAAATATTCGGCAGTTGAATAAAATATTTAAAACTATTAATGTTTGAATCGAAAATTCCTATTATCGGAAATTGTAATTATATTTCGTATAAAAATTAAATTTTGATTGTGCATTTCAAATAGACAGTAAATGGACGATTTTCATTAGTTAAAAGTTCAAAAGAGAAGCTTTTGACAAATCTGAGAATTTAAATTTTAGATAGATTTGAAAATTTAGACGAAAGTAGAAGAGAAATTTTTTGTTTTTATACTAATATATATGCACATTCTCCTCATACTGTTTTTCTGTTTATTTTTTTTTTTAAACAAACAGATACTAAAATACACGCTAAAAAAAGTATATTGATTATTTTGAATCAAAAATTGCAAAATTGCACTAATGTAATATGACATCCGCGATATGTTTTTTTGAAATTTCGTGAACTACCTTTTTTCGTGTGATTTATATGATAAATAATTGCGTTTGAAAATCATGAAACTTATAAACAATATAAAAATAAATAATAAATATAATATAATATAAAAACAAGCTCGAAAACGAACGAATCGTATTCTCAATTAATTATTCCTTTTTATTTATTCGATGAAATGTTCTTGCGAGTGACGTGCAACGCGATAGAATTTTACATTTACAAACGATCTTGTTATCGGAATTGTGAGTTTTATCAACGGTAATATAATTCTTCTAAACCTTGACGCGAGAGAAATGTCTACCTGCTTGAGGTAATGTTATTTGCGGAACTGAGAGCTGTCATGTTTGGTATAAGTATGATATAATTCCATTTATTCTTGAGAAATAGAAATAATCCCTTCGTGAGAAGAAAGCTTTACCAAAAAGATATCTTTAATTATAAAATACATAGTACAGTACTGTAAAGTTTACAGCCAAGATAGAACTTTTACAATACCATTTGCTTTCTTCATATTATTAAGATAAGATAACGCGGATAAGAATTACATTAAAAAAAATTTGTTTTTAAGCAAACGTTGTCTTTTGCATACTCTCTTGAATAATGTCATTATTGTTGCAAACTATATTGTCATTAAACACAATGAATAAAACGTGAATTATCTCTTCTTAACAATTGTCGACAATGCAGACACTTCATGATTAATTTGCCAAATTTTGCATCGTGTTGTTCCTTCATTACAGATAATATTATTTGAAAGTTTCTCGTAATCTCAAACATTGCTGGTATACGAAATACGCCAAGTTTTAATGCAAATTTGCTCTGTAATGTATAATTGGATACATTCGTATCATCATAACTTTTCATTAATGTACTGCCGCAATATTCGTGAGAACATTTGCATTTATTATAATTTGTGTTCATGCCATTTGATTTAACTTTATTTATCCGTTCTATAGAATTAACAATGATATCATTCCTTACTTTGGACAAATTGTGTGAAAATGATTGACATTATTATAGCATACTCTTCCACGAACTTTTTGATTTTGTATAAGAATGATTCAAATGATTCAATTACTGTGTTATACAGTATTTGTAAAGTCATTTATTTAGTAAAAAAAATTATAAATCTTATATAAATGTGACAGCCATCATAAGCTTTTAGATCTTGAGAGAAAAAATATTATGTTAATGGTTCTTGTTCGTTTTTTCCTTTAATTTTTTACTTTTATAATTATTTGTAGCAAAAGTAGTAAAAATAGCTATAAATTTTGTGCGCAATATGTGTGCAATATTACATTATTTGTGCTCTTACCGGCAACCCTCGCTTCCTTGCACGCTTCGTACATGTCCTGCTTGATCTCCGGATTGTCGTCCGCGATAGTTTCGCCGACGGTCACGAATCTCTCGACCGCCAAATTTACCGCCTGGCCGACTCTGGCGACCGCTCGTAGACTCCGGTCCGAACATAGCGGCCGTTCTCTGTGCGAAATTAATGTGGAAATCTGCAAAAATATTGCATTTTTGTGAGCTGACAGATCAAATCGGAAAAGCTTTTGAAAATAAATTACATTTAGAGACATTGAAGTCATTAAACAGTAGTGAGAGACACGAATAAAATAGCGTATAGAAAATCATTATATTTTCAATTACTCCTATTTATTTTTGGAGTTTTTTCATATTCTCGATTCTATTTTTATATTTAACCTCTCAACTTTAAAAAAATAAAGAGACTTTATTACTAGAAATGATGAAAAAATAATTAAATTTACTTAACAATTGTACATTTTGTGGATTTTTCAAAATTGTGAACAGAACATGGTAATTAGAAATTGGAACAACAGCTCTTACATATTAAAATATTTTCAGAGGATTTAAAAAATTTTTAATTTGAACATTACGATATGAATTTTATAGACGAAGAATAAAAAATAAAATGTCTAAGATAAAATATGATTTTAAAAATAGTTATCGATACTTAATTTACATGTAATATGTAAAATAAAATTATGGAGTACAATAATTTTATGTTGTGTTTTACAAGAGTAATATTCTTTTGAATTTTCAAACTTCGATATCAGATTTGTATAACAAAATATGAAAACTCTCAGATATCAAGTTTGATGAGAATAGAATGATTGATTAAATTTATTTTTGTTACATTAGTCATATTAAATTTAAAAATTCCGATTATAGATTTGATTTTTTATGCGAAAATTCTTTGTGTGGGAAATATTATTTTTAAAGTAACATGATATGCGCGCGTTATTAACATTTCAGCAATTAACACGAGAACAATCATGCATTCGTAAACCGTGCGTGTTTGCAGGCTAGCCTATTTCGTAGTCGAGTATATCCTGCATTTCAATTAACATAGCGTCTCATCTAACCCGAGGCGGTTTTGAAATAACCATCAGATCTGTCCGTACACCTGGTCTGAGCAACGCGTATTCCGCGTTTGTTTTAATCAGTACACGGTTAACAACCACAGCTCGCACGCTGCACGCGAAATTGCATCGAGGAATAGTTTTGCGGAATAGCTCGGCAAAGCTACTTGACGCAACACTGCATTTTCCACACAATTAGACGATGCATGCATTGGTGTGCCGTCCTTTTCAGCGATGTCAGCTTTACTCGAGGGAGGGAAAAGGACCGCGGTGATGTGGTAAAGGGGCGGACTCGCGGGCTATTGTTCCGAGAGATGAATGCGTGCGGGCGTGCACACACACACACACATACACGCACGCACGCATGCATACACAGCTCCATTCATCTCGAGTCGATCGTCTTATACAATAAATGAGAGCAGCTAGTCCGATGACGATGTGGCTTTCGCTGCGCGTCGGTTGCATGCGTACGCGAAAGCGTGAATGACTCTGTGCGGGATAAAACTGTATTTCGATGTGGTATTATCTCGCGTTTGTATAACGTTGTGACGTCGGCATGCTCGGTTATAACGGTATCGATTTTGTGCTAGCTAACTGCTATATTTTGTTTCGCGATTATGCACGAGGCATTGATAATTGATGACAAAGTGGGCGAAAAAAAAATCGATTCAATACACAGATTGTACCGTTGTCTCAGGTTTAATTGTATTTAGTTCACATCAATTGTCCAATGTTAAACGCATCTGCTTCGAAAAGTTAATAATGTCCGTTGCAATATGCAGCGCTCTGTGTGGAAGAGAAATGCAGTAGGGCAACTGTGTTTTATTCGGCCACTGTGATAGTATTTATCTGGATCCCGCGAATTTTCCTGAACTCAGCGAGAATGTTCGAACGTTTTTATCTGCCAGTCTGAATAAATTGCACAATTTACACGAGTGTGAGATAAAATTTTTAAACCCCACCGCGTGTAACGCATACATTTCGTGGCGTTGACATGTTATCCACTTTGCAATGATCGCTTGTGAGTTCTTATTATTTGTTTGTTAAAACAAAATGTTGCAGGAATATTGTTGCACTGCTGCAATTAAATAGTTTACATGTTTAAGCATGGAATTTAATTCCACGGTCTCCATGTTTATTTTGAGTTGCAGGAATTATTTATGTCAATATAATATTACAAAATATAATACACGTATTATATATATAATATAATATTACAATAAGTCGTACAGAATATTAGAAAACATAATATTAGAAAATTGCAGATTAAAAATACACTTACGAAATGTTTTATTTCTACTAGTTATATTTTAATGATAGATTCTTTGAGATTTATTATTCGCAGAAAATACTAACAAAGGTTCACGAATGTATCTTGCAAAGTTCAGTTATAACTTTGTATAATTTCCACCGACCGGAACTCCATTTTTCACGATAAAATTCCACCGGGTTCTCTCGCGCGAGTAACTAGCGAATAATTGAAATAGCGATCCGTTCGTGAGAGAATCAGTTATCTTGCATGAGAATTCCCGAAAGTCCATGAGTTTATGCATTTGTCGACGCGTCGACGGTGTTTTGTTCTTCATTTAGATCAAATCGTTACCGATTGTCTTTTTTTTTTTTTATTCCTCACCAGCCGCATGGAATTAACAATAATAGGACAAAGTTTGCGGCGACCGCGCTGCCGCAGCGATATCGATTCAAATGCTATCGACGATACCGTTAATCGCTTTTACGCGCAAAATTCATCTCGCCGGTTCACGCGGCTATTTGCGGAATTTTCGATATCGCCGGTGAATATTTAGCTCGTGAGTTATCATCAATCAATTCCGATGTCGTATCGCGATGTCGAGGCATGCCTCTCCTGACACATCTACATTTTCCGTGATATTGTAGCGAGAACACGGGCCCGGTAACTTATGTTCCGTAACGAGGATGGTTCGTGAATTTATCGCTCTAATACGCGACGACCATACGTGAAATTATGATCCGCGCGGAAATAACTTATCCCGTGACCGCAGTCTCGCACATAATCGGGATGTTATTAATGCGTAATCGCGTGTCGTCGTATCCACGAAAAATATCGTTGAACAGGAATATTATTTTGTGTGCTACGGTACACTACAAAAACAACATATTTATTTGTGTTGTGTACGTGTTTCAACTGAAATATTACATGTTATGTATTTCAATTGAAATGCTTGTTACGTTTTTAATGATGAAAAGTAATATTCAATCCAAGCTATATTTTTTTTTATATTCTTATACGTTTCTGATATTAATAACGCTGTTAAAAATTCTGTTTGACTCATGCTATCATAAATAGTCAATAAATATATTTAATATTAAATAATTCTCATATGTCCATGAGCGCTGCAATATGTAATGTATAACCGGAATTCTGTAATTATTCATAAGCGGTTAGCGAATTATGCTCAACGCTATGTGTTTCTAACTTAAATGGCCCGAGTGCTATGTAAATGTACGTTGATATCAATAATTATATTCTAATAATTATTAGAGAGAAAAATAGCAATATATTGTTCATATTTTTGAATTTTGATGGTGAAAATAAGATAACTCTCTCTCTATATATATTTTATCCGTTCACCTATATTTTATCTGTCAAAGTATGAGGTATGATGTGTATAAGTATCGTGAACAGCAAATATATTTCTTCTAATTTCAATTTTCTATATAGAAGACATCGATTTCTCGAAATAGAATGTATTCCAGAATAGAGGTCATGCGAAAGAGATGATTAGACTTTGTAATTTCCTAACCACCTAATCACTGCTACATACAGTCTAATCGATAATGACCTTGTTATTAATGAGAACACACATTTTGTTTTTATACTTCTCAGAAAAACTTTATATTTGCACATATAAAAATGTTACTGCTGGCATGTTAATATTTTATGTGCAAAGAAACCTTCGACACATTTGTAAACACATTTGTAAATCGAATTTTATTTGACGTTGGCCCGCTTATTGAAGTGTACTTTCATTCGATCGATTTTCACTCTGTTTCATCTTCCATTTGCAAAGTGGGTGCTGGAAACAAGCTTCGCGAATATGAACGCTATAATGCTGCTACAAGAGTGCGACAAGAGCGATGGCCAGCCAGCCACCTGCTGTAACTCCAAGTATCGTCTTCGTTTTAACGTTGAGAAATTGACGCCGCGCTGTATGAGTCACCGAGAAATGCTTTAAATATCCAACTCAGAATTTTAATGAGAGGAATTTTTTGAGCTTACGCTATATGTAGAGATTGTTGTTTTATCTTTATTGAAAAAAAAAATATGCGTGGGTTGACATTATTCACACATTTGTTCTCTTTCTTCGTTCAGGAAAATATCTATAAAGTATGTTTGATTAAAGCGAACATGTTATACGAAGGAAAAAGCGAAGCTTTCTGCAGATAAATTTAATTAAAATGTTCAAAGAGCGGGAATCGCGAGTGGGACGCGACAAGTAAGACCGACCGATTTTCAGACCTAGGCGTAATTTTATGAATTCTCTTTAATTTGGTTTCGCAAGGTTCTTTGAAGACAAAAAGAACGTCAGCGATTGTGTTAATTAGAGAGATTAAATCTTTTATTATGCTCAAATCAAAGTTGTCTTTGCTATTTCTCGACGATCTTTCTTTCTTACGCTCTCTCTCTCTTTCTCTCTTTTTCTTTTTTTCTCGAATACTTTTTTTCTCCTCTTTTGAGAAAATAGAAGAGCGTACATACGATTACTCACTTGCGGCGCAGTTGTTGAGTCTCTCCGCACTTTTATAAAAGATGCATGAGCTTTCACTCTGTTCGCGCGGTCTTCTGTCTTCGGGCTTTCTCATTTCCACCCCGGCTCATTCTGCAAGACACGATTTTTGCTTTTTATTTGTCTAGGACAGCTTGGACTCTTCTTCCTTTGTCTCTTCGATCAATTTCCTCTCTACGTAATCCAAACGCAATTCCATTCGAACGGAATTCTTTTGTTTTCTTTATAAATTAATATACGTCTAATTTTGAATATTCTGTTCTGAATTTAAATCAGATATTTCGTGAAGTGCTCAATCTGCCAAAATTGGCAGCAAATAATATAATATAATGTCATTTTTCAATGGACATT